GTGTGCATGTGTGCACATGTGCTTTTTCTGTAGCAGCGTCCCATGCCAGAAAGGGAAAGCCATTCTTCCATTTAGAAAGGTGCCTTGCCGCTTCAGAAGTGGGAGCTGCTTTTGAGACATTAAGAAGAAGAAAAAAATTAAGGGACAAATTCTCTTACATGAAAACAGGTGACCTTGGATCATCAAAAACCTGTGAGTAAAATTGTTCATAAACTGTGCCAGAATCGAAAAGCATTATTCTGGTTGTGAAAATCCCTAATCACCTTATAAACCAGTATGAAATGTAGCTTTCTATGCATTTTACTACCATATTTCTTTATACATATTTGACAAGAAAGTTGGTACCAGAAGTATTCCAATGTCACATTGCTCCTTTTGCTTGTCCAGGAAAGCCTTGAATCTCCTGCTGAAACTGCCTTAACTGATCTAACTTGTTTATGTATTTATTTAAGAGACTCTTCATGCTCTTCTATGCATTTTTATCAAGTGGTGGATGTAGTTTTCCTTTATCCTAATATCAGACTTTGAAAAGGATACAATAATACAGTAGTATTTAACTTGGAGTTGGAAGTGAACCCTGTTTTTCTGTGTTAAGATATGTTAGTATGTATGTTTTGTAAATCCAGCAATATTCTTTCTTGAGTGTGCAAAACGAAACTGCAAGCCACATGACTATCAAACTGTGTCTTTGCACAAATGTATATGAAGCAAATCAAACTATTTACATGTGCAAGAAGCTTAAGATGACTGTGCATTAGTGTCCCTTGATGTGAAAATGGAGCTTCTTCACATACCTTCAGCTAATGAAGGCTGCTCATTAGAGATGGGCAGGCTCTTCCAGGCTTGCCAGAGATTAACTCTGAAATACTCTCAGACCTTCTCCAAAAATTAAATTCTTCCCCAAAACTTTGAGGCTGCAAATAAATACTTCTCCCCTCCCCATTGTGCCCAAATGTCGTGGTCCCCTAAAACCCTCCCCCAAAAGACACATATGTATCTTTTTTAATCTCCATTTTAATCAGCAGCACATGAAGAGGATTTTTCCTCCCATTGCTCAACTTGTAGAGATGCTGATGGATAGCACACCTGAGCACAAAAGCCTTGGGGTCATGTTTTGTTTTCGTTTTCCTTAGACAGAAAAATTGCATCTCCTGTGGTTCTCTGGACTTTCACATCCTGGCATGCTGCTAATGAGCCCATCAAGGTAGATAAAAGGGAAAGAAGGGGGAAATGGTCCTGTTCGTCACAACTTCTCTTTGAAAGAGCAGGAGTTTAGGGAGAGACAGAAGGGACTTTTGAGGACCACGACAGCTGGCAGGGATAGGAGTGTAAAAACCAGGATTTCTTCTGGTCCGGATTTTAGTGTGAGCCACTGAAGAATAGCAAAGTGTGCAGAGCTCACCTGTCCTTGAATGTGGATTCCCACAAGTGTTGAAGCTCAAAGAGCAGCACCTAGTTAAATACATTTCACAATGTTTTCCGGTTGTACTTGGGTTTATAGGAAAGCGAGTTAGGATTTTCTTTAAGCAGTTGTGGTTTTCCTTAAGTAAGTGTTTGGAGAAAGCCCAGCGCCTTGCCCTTTCAGCTGTGTTATTTAAGCAGAAGATGAAGGTTGGATAATGCCAGACAAAGTTTCACCTTCCTATCTCTATGTTGAAGATTTATTTTACTGTACTGCACTGCATGTGATGATTACTCCATGGTTGACATTTGCACTTTAATAAAGTGGATGATAATCTTATAAAATGCTAAATGCTTGGCCTACTTTTGTGATCAAATTAAAGTTTAGGCACTTTGGAGATAGCTTGAGTCTGTTTGCAGTGAAAAGCTATTCAGGTTTCAAGGATGCCTGGGAAAGCTCTGTTTATTATCAGGAAATGTGATTACAATATCTACTGTTACACCTATATGGCAATGCAACAGCAGGCAAAAGTTGAAAAGCCAAGATAATTTCTCATGTACTGGAAACATCGATTCAAAGTTCAGTTCAAATTAGCCTCTACCGACTTTGCATAGTTTCTCCTCAACACTAACATCAGAAGCCTATGTACTGGGCTGGTTAAAAACAAATAAATTATAACTGCGTGAAGCTTTCTTTCCCAGGCTGGCGCATGGCAGATATTTTGCACTACAAGGCTCAGCATTCCTGATCATTGGTCACACTGGCTGGGGTTACAGGGAGTTGAATTCTAAAATATCTCAACAGCACTAGCTTCATAAGGCTGGTATCAAGAATTTCAACTAATTTGCCATCACTCAGGGATGTACATCAAAATATTCATCCTCAAAATATTCATGTTATCATTCCATTAATCCAATGTGCTAGCAGTCTAATTCCACCAAGAGATTTTGAAAGAACAAGTTGAGGACACAGTCCTAATGCTGCTATTTAGATGGATGGGGTGGCATTCCAGCTCCAGCCTTGGGAACACATTCCAAAGGTTGCAGCTGGGAAACCAACCATGGAAAGTCCTTCTTCCATGCCAGTACAGCTCCAAAGTTGTTCTACAGGGATACAAGGAATTCTGGTGATGCCTCAGCCTTTCTTATTCACAAACAGGGGCAAAAGATATAGCTGGCTGAAAGCCTCTTTGGCAGGGTGGGAGAAGCATGGGAGAAACAAACTTTGCCTCCATACTCTCCTGGATGCCTGTAATCCTCTGAGGTCAGAGTGCTGCAGGCAGCCACACTGGTTGGCCTCCTAAGTCTTTCTTTTATAAGAACTATCAGTTAACCAAGTTATATATATTCACATTTCTTCAGTGTTTCTTCCAAGGTTATAGAAGTTCAGTATTTTTTGCTCGCAGTCTTGTATTTTGAAAGTAAGCATGTTTAATTCCAACCACATGTTGGAAAAACAACACTAAATGCCTGTGTATCAACTGCTAAACAAGCCAAAAATTTGCTTGAGCTTTTAGATTTCTTTCTGAGGTTCCCCCATGGTATATATTTGACAAGTGTCATTCTTAACATACTTTCATTGAACAAGATTGCAATGTAGCTTGGTGTTTTCCTTCTGAAAAAACAAAAAGAAAACTAGTTTGTTCTCTTGGAGAGAACCCTTTTTCTTATATCACTTTTAGTTCTTCATTAGTTTTATCATATTTTTGGGGTTTTGAGTTCTACTTGGGTTTGAGTTGAATCATCAGGAGTTCTGTTGGCCATTTCTTAAGCCCCAGGCATTTCTCACACAGGGTAATTTGGAAAAAAAAATTGGGGCCAGGGGAATGAAAATCAACCTTTCAGGTATTTTCTAGTGTGCCATGATTTTTCCCCCTCACAGAAATAGTTTTGGGCCAGGAGTTTATCCCTTGTCAGGGTTGAAAGCATCCTTTTACTCAACAAAATGATGAGACCTGGCCAAAGGACATCTGGGTAATTGTCCCATCATTCAATTGGAAATTCTTTGTTGATGGACCAAATGTTCTTACTGAGCAACTCAAAGAGACTTTTCTTAAGTGGCATTCCATGGGTGAAGATCTCTGCTAATGCAGTAGGATTTACCGTTCCTCTCTTCCCGCTACACCTTCTTTCCCCTCAAATCTTCGGCAAATTTATCTACAGGTGGACGAACAAAAGTGGATACCACCTTATGTTTTGTTTTTCAGAGTTAGCTATTGGTAAGACAAATAAAACAACAAGCCAGAATGCACAAAGTATGTTTTAATTGTGTAAAGTGATGTACAAAGTTTTATATTAAGGTAGTACACATTGTGACAGTGCCTTCAACAACAGTATGTCCACTACAAAATGCCGATCCTTTTTTCTTAAAATTTGCATCAAGTATAGCCATAGCATATCTAACATGTACAAAAATTGTGCAGACTTAATACAGGATTAGGTACAAAGGGCAAGTTTTAACATTCCCAATATTAATAGAAAACACAGATACAGAGAGAGAAAAAGCATCAAGAACACAGAAATTATTTTGCATTCACATGGTAAGTATTCTGGCCAGGATCCAAAAGGCCACAATGGCTTTTGTACTTATGAAGCGACTTTTTAGGCATTATAACTCCGCAAGCCACTCAGCAAGGTTGGGAGATGTTCCATTGCTTGAGGAGCTACAGCTGGAAACAAAACTTGATAAAAAAAATCTTATGTGTACAGAAGTGCATTAGAGAAGTGCCTTAGATGAGTCCATGGAGCTCTTTGGATCCTAGCATTTTTCTGGATTATTAAGCTATACCCAGCATAGCATGGATCTGAAGAACAAACTATTTTGAACTTGCAATATTTGAAAACACCCACACTCAATTTCATGACAATTATTCAAGTGAGTGGCAGCTGTTGACACTCAGCAATGGAAGAATTCGAGCTTAGAATTCTGTTTGCCATCGACTACTCCCTTCTTTTCTTGCTCACACCAAGATGGTTCTTATGGTCCTCATTTTCAGCACATGCACTTTATTTCAAGTCACATTTCAGGCACACAGCACTAATGCATGCTAAAGGAAAGAGCAGAAAAAAGTGTTGATTCCCAGCACTGTTTATGGATATGGATCATCCCACAGACAGAGCATACTTCACACTGCAGTGAGTTCTCATTCTTGCTGAAAGCTTGGCACACAAGATTACACTAAGGTAATCTGAACTTTAGTGTTTGGCACTAAAACACTTCTCGGTGCAACAAGTGAATGAACCTTAATGTTCATATCTTCTAATTACTTTTGAACTGTGCTATCTCACTTTTTTGAGGAAGCTGCAAAATTCTTCCCATTAAGTGAGATGGAGATATGGAGAAGAGGAAAGGACTGCAATTTCAAACTGTTTGGGTGGCAGTATTCCCATGAGATCAGTTTCCTGAAAGAACACACCATCCCTTCATCCAGACTTCAACCTTATTCAGCACAGTAAGTTGCCAAGTATCATGGGAATTGTAGTCCAAAGCATCTAGGCGGGTTAGGTAATGCTTCATTCAGTGGGAAAGAATTGTCTTTTCTCTGGAAAAGATGTTTATGGGCTTCTACTCAAAGAGACCAGGATGCATTATGTAACACTTACCTGAAATTCAAGTGTTCTAATAGCACATATCCATCTGGGGAAGAAAAGAATACACATTATTACATGCACACTCACATGAATTTTTCTAGTAATTTAAGTAAACAAAATGTGCTGATATATGCTTAAATGCTTTCAAATACAAATTACTGTGTCCTGATTTAAAAAGGTCAAATTTAAATGGGTATCCAGGTAAATGATCCATCATTCATTTTTGGTAAAGAATTCAAATATCTGAAAATAAAAGGGCAGCAAGAACTTGACTTCTCAGCTTGCAAAGAATCAGAGGCCTCAGAATGAATGCCAAAAGACCAGCTGAAATCATTTTGGATTGAGCTGATAAACAGCTGCCAACAGATAAAGCCTCCAACTTTCTACCCAGCTTCTTCTCAAGATCCAGCATGGTCAGCAGTTAATTGGTAGGCAGAATGAGCAAAGTTTCACCCTCCCTAAGTGTTGATGTATTTATGCTCAGCTTAAACCATATGCTTGTTATTCAAAACCAACTGGATACTTACATTTGCCTTCAGAATTCCGACATATTAATTGATTACCCTCAGTAATATCAATGACATCAACTTGTTCTCCAGCTGTGATCTTCAAATCAAGTTTGCCTTTGGTCAGAGTGTTTGAACAGTGCGCAACTGCGGTATTTATTACTGTGATCTCCTTAGTATACTGAAGGGAACAGGAACTAAAATTAGTAAGGATGAAAATCTATGCATGCTTACATGGGTGCAGGTTGGAAGATTCAAAGAGCAACTTCAGATATGCACAAGGGCTTGGATGCATGTTTCTCTCCCTGATTCCTTTGAACTACAGATGTCCACACACATATTATAGTCCAGCTGTCTTTGAAAAGGTCTTACCAGGTTCAAAAATGGTCAACTATGCAAACAGGGTGGGCAACTTGTAGCTTTTCAGACATTTTGACCAACAACATGAGATCTCTACACAAAAACATCTGGGGAACTCCAAGTTGCCCACCTCCAGGATATAGCATATAGCCAACCCTTCCTTGGAAACATAGAGTGAGATGTTCAAGTCTCTGGGCCACAGCCTGTGATCAGCACCTCATATGTACCAGCTACGGTTGAGGAGGATTTACAGAGCTTGGGTTGGATAGAGATCTACTCTTATCAACTACCCCGAGTGCAGTGGAGTTCCCCACCCACCACTTTCCATAGTGGTAATGCTGCACAGAAGAGCGGACTTTGCTGCTGAGCTGTGGTGTGAGAAAAGAAGTTCCCCAAAACTGCGTAGAGTGACCTTCTGTGAGCAGAATGCTTCCTCTCACAGAGGGCAGATTCCAGGTTCAACTGAGTACGAATAGGCCATCCTGCACACAGTTTTCCAATCAACATTTTTATTTCTTCTTTTCAATTTTAACTTCAGAAGCCAATACATAAAACACTCCTTGAAATTATAAATCTTAATAACTTGGAAAAGAAACAGAGGGTGCAGTTGCTAAAATGTAGCAAAGCTGAGGGTGATTTGATTCTAATGTGCCATTCCTTCTATGAAGGCAGGCTAATTCTAGATTTAAAAGCAAATGAAACAATTTTGTTCAATTACAGGAAATAAATTATGGAACACTTGGTGGAGCTGGGGAACTAGAAACATCAACTTGCAGTATAATAACCCAGACTGCCATACTTTAAGCCATAACCATCACCACCCAAAATAGACCAAAATAGAAAGGTCATAACAATGCTGCCAGAGGATGTTTAGCAGCTGGTACAGTACAGTGTTAAATGGTGTCTTAGTGGTGTAACAACTGAGAGGGCTCATCTTTGTGTTCTGGGAAACCAGAGATGCCGTATGTATAGCAGAAAACAGTGCTTCTGGTTGGGCCCAAAACTTCAAAGGGCTTGCTCAAAGAATAGCATCAAGAAGATGCAGAGGACTGATTCCAGTATGAGGACCTCCTGCTTCATAAAGATCATGAATCTTCAAGCCCCGATATGTTTTTCAGCCTACAGACATCCTACTATATGTTTTCATGCATCGTACACTTTCAAGAGTTAACTTTGTGCTACAGGTAGCCATATCAACACCTTCCCAGTGTTTTACATAAATTAGAAAAATAGAGGAAGCATACCATGAACTTCTCTCTAAATAACTTTTCTTCTTTTGCCATCTTATTCGTCTTTTCTAAATTGAATTTCTTTACTTTGAAGAAGTGTCGAGAAGAAATGCTACCAAGAAAGTATATACATAAGATAAATCAGCCAATGACACAGGGTACTGATATATTCAATGTATTCCAATAATCCAAAAATTCCAGTAATTCCAAACAGCAATCCTCACCTGTGAGCTCTGTTGAGCTAAATAGACTTCCATAGGGTTAAGCCATATTTCTCAATGAACATAGTGAAATTTACTTCAGGCCATTCAGTTTGGAAGGTAATATTTCTGGAATTAATTGATTAAGGCAGTAAAGGAAGCATGATTTTAAGTCCAATGTATTTGCTTAACAATATTGATTGATTGATTGATTGATTTATATCCTGCCTTTTTCTTACAAAGGGCTCAAGGCAGCTTACATCATTCTCCTCCTCCATCTTATCCCCACAACAACCCTGTGAGGTAGGTTGGGCTGAGAGTCTGTGACTGGCCCAAAGTCACCCAGTTGGCTCCATGGCTGAGCGGGGACTAGAACCCAGACTGTCTGAGTCCCAGTCCCATGCTCTTAACCACTACACCACACTGGCTCAATATGGGGGTTTTATCCAATTTATTTACCTTTATGGGGACCCATGGCAATCTGGGTTTTTCACTGCTGAGAAGTTTGAAACTTATTTCTGATTTTAAAGAAACCAAAGCATCCTGTAATGCACAACATTCTGTAATTCTTTAAACAATTGTTAGTAAGAAGACAGGGAATATTACAGAGAAATGCCTGCATGGATCAACTACCCCAAGTGCAGTGGAGCTCTACTGCTCAGTGCTCCTTGTCTCCACACTCAACCACAACAGCATGTTGCACTCTCCTCCAAGCTGAGCTTGGCTTCTCCCTCCACAGCTAAGTTCTGCTCATAAAGCCCAGTGACCAAGAACCTGTACAGAGTTCCTAGAGTACCACCTCTGCCCTTATTTGCCTTAGTGACATCTGCTTGTGTGATAATCCCAAAGAGTGGGAGCCAATCCTGGCAACGGTTCTAGCTTCCTCGATCCCTCCTGTTCTGAGGTCCTGTCTGAGTGTCATTTACACAGGGAAGATATTCCATTGCACTTGGGCACCACTGCAGAATTTGCTCACAGCTCTCCCACACTTCGTAGCTCTGCTCCAGAGGGAAATAGAAACAAAGAAACAGAGAAACAGAGCGAGTCAGAAGGGGTCTCCCGGGCCATCTAGTCTGACCTCTGGCACCAGCCGGCTCTGCTCACGACATGCCCACCAGCAATAACCCTCTGCCAAGCTGCCCTCTTGAGGCTTTAAACTTTGCGCGTGACCTTGGGTGTTGCTTACAGAGAAATATACAGGAAAGTATTAACAAATATCCCCATCTCTGCCCTTAATTGGGCCTTCTCAGTAGCTACTGTGAAACACCCTATGAAGGGAGACTGAGTTGGGTCCATTTCTGCTGCCCTTCACTTTTTACTGAAGTTCACTTTCCATATATTTGGCTGGATGCTGTCCTTATTCTGCAACTGGTATGTTTTAATTGAGTTTTAATGAATTTGTTTGATTGTGGTTTTAACCACATTGTAAGTAGCAAGGGTGCCATTTTTATTTTCCTTTTGGGTAAAAAGGTGGGGTTCATTACATTTCTGCTTTGTCAGTGCATCTCCTTTGATCCTTCTCTCTGAAAGAGAGGAATTTAAGCTTCTGGTTTTACTACGGTTCTTCAGCTTTTCACTGAAGCGGGCCAGAGAGATGTGTGGAAAAAACATGGCCTCCTAACGACATAAATGCTGCAAACTGCTGATGCTCCACAAGAGACAATGGGTACCTCAAGCTCAACCAAGATACCACACAACAGGCTTCATTTCATGCACTGCTGAATCACAAAAACATTTTCAAATGGAAACCATGCTGTTATAGTGGTACACAGAGCTGCAGTACAATAGGTTAAAAGCAGATCATCAAGAGGCTTCTATCCAGCCATAAAGCTACAAGGGTTTTTCTTTTAAAGGGAGCGTAAAGCAGATGCTAAAATTTCTTTCTTCAAATGTCACATGAATTTTTGATTCCAAAGCCTTTTCTTCCAAAGAAAGATAGCTTTATACTTTCAGTATTCAGTTATTCTCATGCAGCTGAGGAACTAATTCATTATCATGATGCTGATGTGCAAAAACAGACCCAAATCTTTACTCTCGTTCTGGCCTTATTTTATTACCTATGAAAACTAGAGGTAGCTGAATCTATATGTTCCATTTTCTGTAATGTTTGCATTTTTCCACACAAAAGGCATTTCTGTTCCATTTCCATACCATTTCACAGTTTAGTTTTGCTTTTGTTTTAAAAGCCCTTGAGAAAATTCCATGCATGCTTTTGTACTGAATTCTCTCTAGCAGAAGCATTTTCTGCAAGCACATCCCCTTAATACAGGGATGATGAATGCCTTTCAGCCCGAAGGCCCAATTCTCTTTGTCAAACACTGTTGTGGTGGTACATTCTGGTGGTGGGTTATGTCAAACCCAAATGAGTCAGGGCCAAAATATCAGCACATTGTAGCTAAAGCTCTTACTGCCAGTAAATAAGCTTTTCAGCCTTTTTATAATGGGATAAACTATGCAAAAGCCAAAAAACTACGAAGCAAACAGCTTTTGGAAAAATCAGCAGAGGGTGGAACTAGGATATTGAGGAATCTGCACCATACCCTAATATTTTATTTCCGATACTATGTGCACTGTTGTATGACATTTGTACTTATTTTTCTAAGGGAACATTGCATTGCAGTATTTGGAGATGGACAAAATCCAAAGACTAATTGCATTCCAATTCATGTATTAGTTCTGGGGATACAAATGAGGTTAGTCTTTATTAACAGTAAAGCCAAGAAAAAAATCCTCCCCACTAATTAGGATAAATGCTCCTTGGAAGCAAGCAGGCAATTGTCTGCAGCCACTTCCAGGTGAACAGGTGGGTCTATTTAGAGGTTGCCAGAAACTGTAGCAGGAGCCATGGATCTGATCCTTGGCAGATATGGGATGTCTTGGTGCAAGACATTTATTTGCAGAACCAAAGTATCTCAACAAGTAAGTGAAAGAAAGCCAAGAATGAAGAAGAAAGCCAAGGATGAAGCAAATTCCAATTATGGACTGAGTTTGCCCATTCCATAACAACCACCTACATACTCTTATCTTGAGAAAGAGTGTAAGAGGCATTCCCTGCATCTTGACAGAAACAAGGTCCTACAATTCCCAGCTGCCCAGGACATGTGGGAGTTGTAGGGCTTTCTTCAGTCTAAGCATGATTGTGCCCGAAACGAAACTTGACTGTGCCATCCACAAGGATCATTGGGTTTAATGCCCTGGGGGTGACGGAGTCTTGCACAGTCCTCCACAGAGAAAAGAAGAACGGCTGAGGAAAACGTGGGCACCCTGTAGTAAGATGAGAACTCGGGAATGCCTAAAAAGAACCAGGCTGATGGCCTGCTTTCTGCTGAGGATTCAGTCTCATCCTGAGCTCTTCCTCAGATCTAGTTCACCTTTGCTCTTCCCAACACCACCTTTTAGTAGACAGTTCAGATGCCTGCTGTCTCCTGGTGGTGTGAGATAACAAGGATGAGCTTCTCCATCAGGAATTGGCTGGCTGCCCCCAAGCCTTTCTTCCTTTCTTCAACTACCTCTTTACATTGGAGCAGATATCCCAACAAAAACAGTGGCAAGTTGACATGGACTGATTATGGTACAGGAAAAGCAGGCTACAGAACCCGTCTATACTACAATTCTCCATCACCACCCAGTTTAGCCTCTGCAGACTCTGTAAAGCTACAGATCAATAAGGGAAGCCAAAATCCCATTTTAGAAAGTCCTAGGTCCTCTCATAGCACTAGTGCTCTCATGGTTCCCATGCAAAAAAGGAGGATACTTTTCATTTACATCTGCTGTATAAATATGTCCAAATAAGCATTTCAGGACTGTACCATATCTTTTAAAATGAATTCCAACCCTAATTCAAAACTGAACACTATTATATCGGTTCTAATATGTCATTATATATACATTAGTCAGTGTATTAACATATATTTGAGCCAGTATATAAGAGAGCCAGTGTGGCGTAATGGTTAAGAGCATGGGACTGGGACTTAGGTGATCTGGGTTCTAGTCCCCGCTCAGCCATGGAGCCAACTGGTCACAGACTCTCAGCCCAACCTACCTCACAGGGTTGTTGTTGTGGGGATAAGATGGCGGAGGAGAATGGTGTAAGCTGCCTTGAGCCCTTTGTAGGAAAAAGGCAGGATATACATCGAAAAACAAACAAACAAATAAATAATTTAAAGAAAGTATTATGAATTTACGGATCTGGCAAAATGACCTTACTGTTGACAAGAACATGTGGGGGCATGAGAGGAAAAACAGGCACTACCATATCTTTTACCTACCTTGTATCATTTTTTTCCGTGTCAACATCATCATACAGCATGTGTTCACGGGCCACAACATCTGTGAACAAAAACACACAGCATATTATTATTTATCAGTTATACATAGAGCTTCCTGAGTTTTCCAGGTGTTGTATAATTAAAAAAGAAGGAATACAAGCTACCCACAAGCTTATGGTCTAACAAACATAACTCAAAAGGAAAAAAGGAATGAAGGAGGAGCAGAAAACAAGGAAATCAGACACCAATTCTTAAAAGTTATACTGTAGCAAAGCGTTTTGAGAATTCTTGTTAGGTAAGAGGGTGAACAAGTAATTCTTTTTCCATAGGAACAGTGCAAACATGGTAAGCCTTAAGCAGCTTGTAGTCTTGAACGATTGCACACTATGATCCAACTTGCGTGAAGCAGCTCAGTGTGTACAAAGCCAAATTAGGGTGCAGCAAAGATCTTGTAAGACTAATGACGGGAACTCTGCCAAAACCTGCATTGGGTTGCACGCAGTTGTAAATATTATTAGAAAACCTGTTACAGGCAGTATTTTAAACAGCAGAGACTGCTGTTTGGCTATTATTCAAAATAACCATGAATAAACTGAGGGCCAATAAACTGAGACTCAATTCAGATAAGACAGATGTCCTTTTGGTGGGTGGTATGGGTTTTTAGATAAGTGATTTTGGTCCTGTCCTGGACAGCGTTGCACTCCCTCTAAAGGACAGGGTCCGCAGCCTAGGAGTGCTCCTTGACCTGCAGCTGTCCTTGGAGGCCCAGGTGACGGCGGTGTTGAGGAGCACCTTCCTTCAGCTTTGGCCGATCCAACAGCTGCGTTCTTACCTGGACAAGCACTGCCTAGCGACGGTGACACAGACGCTGGTAACCTCCTGGTTGGATTATTGTAACACAGTCTGCATGGGGCTGCCCTTGAAAACAGTTTGGATACTTCAATTGGTACAAAATAGAGCTGCCAGGTTGCTGATGGGGGGGCAGCCATTATTCTCATATAACACCAGTCCTCTACCAGCTACACTGGCTCCCAGTTGAAGTCCGAGCCCAATTCAAGGTGCTGGTACTAACCTATAAAGCCCTAAATGGCTTTGGACCAGGATACCTGAAGGAACATCTTTCCCTGCATGCCCTCACGCCCCTTAAGATTGGCAGGGGAGGCCTTGTTCTGGGAGCCCTCTTTGAATGAGGTACGAAGAGTATCTACTTGGAGGGAGGCTTTCTCTGCAGTGGTGCCCAGACTATGGAATGCGCTCCCCAGAAAGGTCTGCCTGGTGCCGACTCTACTCTTTCCAGCGCCAGGTAAAGACTTTTTTATTTAGCCATCATTTAATAAATAAATAAATTTAATAACAATAACATTTTACATAGTCACATTTTCTCCTCCTTTCTTTTCTCTTTTCCCTTTATTTTTGAACTGTTATTATTGAATGTTTTAATTGTATTGTATATTATTATTTAATCTTTTGTAAGCTGTCCTGAGGCTTGTGCAAAGGATGGGATAAAAATGTTTTAAATAAATAAACCTTAAGCAAGGTTATTTTTAAAGGTTACTTACAAAATAAAATTACAAAATCCAATCAAACTACTTAAAATAGGAACAGTTCCACTAAAATACATTTTTTAAAAAAATCCATAGGCAGTAAATACCATTAAAACTTGTATTTAAAGACAGGTGGTTTTAAAATGCTCTTCAAGGCAACCTCAAATGGAAGCCAGCTGCATGCCTCTTGGAAGGGAATCACATAGTGTCATGCCACAACAAAGCAAACATGCCACCCTTTTTTCTTATCTTGGTGATAACTCCAAGGCGGATCATGTAGCACAGGCAGGTCCATGCAAGTGTAGGTAGTCCTTCAAGACTTTTGTACCCAAAAGCATCAAACCAAGAATTCCTCCTCTCCCTCCCCCTCAAATGTTTCACTATTGGACATGTAAGCTTACCTAAGTTTGGTACGGATTGAGAAAGGTTGCTAAAGAGGGAAGAACAGAACAAAATTATGCATTTCAGCAAGTTCATTAAGCAACAATTGATTCTGTGGAAGAACAGTGAAGGATGCTGGATAGGAGTTGGCATGTACACCCCTTTTCCACAGCACACTCTTTTTGGAAATTAAATGAGCATGTTACATCTGGTACCTAACCATATGCAGCACTATTAATAGGCATAATTAGCACTTCAAAACAAATCAGTACTATGAGTACAAAAAATAACTCAGAGAAGAAAAGTTGCATCCAAACACTTTACTTTCAATCTCAACTCTTGCCAATAATATATTTAAATTCCTAACAAATTCATTTCTCTATCACAACTGACACCCTTCTGTAGATTACAGAACATATACATTACTCCATTCAGCTATGTGCAGCATTCTACAGAAATAGGTACAAATGCCAAGTCCTATCAAGCAGCTTTGTGTGCAATAACTGCACAAGGAGTTACAAATTCCTTTTGTGAGTTGCACTATAGGCACTAGGATGGCCCCATCACTTCATTTAACAAGGCGTTATTGAGTTTTGTCCCAAGGAAATGCAACCAGTTTTAACAGATGAAAAATACAGATATTTTTATAGGCTCTTCTTTGAGTACAGTGATAATTTGACATTATCAGCCTCAGCCTTTCCATCTCCAAATGCCAGAATTAGTTCACACTCCAGTTTAGACTCCTTCCAGCTCTAGGCAGCTTCAGGTTATGTACATGAATGTGGATTTGTTTATATGATTGAACAATGGCCAGTTTATTTACCAAGAAAAAGGATACACCTGAGGGCACCAAGATTCAGTGCATTACACGTTTAATGCCAGCAGCTGGATAACCTATACAGATACTGGGCTTCACTGGCCAGGGCTAGTCCCATGCAGGTTTCTGATGGGGTTGCTGCCTCTCCCTTTTGAATTCAAATGTGGTTGTTGGACTCAGAGAAAAATCTAACCTAGAGAAACCCTTTCCCTTAGAAACACCATAGAAGCCTTAAAGTTTCAAGTTCTCAAATGTAACTGGGAATTGTAGACTACATGGAAAGGAAGGAGGAGCCAAACTGTGAAGCTCAGATTCTTTGGACAGTTTCCATTAGACATTAGTATTAGTTACATTGCTCTACTGTAAGCAACCACTCAAGAAATACAGTAGAATTTGTTGGAACAATTTTTTTGGGGGGGGGAGAACCCCATCAAACCAGCAAATGATACTAGCATTGTGCTAGATGTGGCTTATGCCAGGCAACATAAGTTACTTTAAAACAACTGGCATGACCCTAACCCTTAAATGTATGGCATACTGATGCTCTCAATTTACATGTGCTCCAGCATAAAGAAAGAGACTCTGTCATGACTATACCTCATAGAAACATAGAAACAGAGCGAGTCAGAAGGGGTCTCCCGGGCCATCTAGTCTGACCTCCGGAACCAGCCGACTCCGCTCACGACATGCCCACCATGTAGACATCCAGCCTATCCTTGAACACCCGCACCAATGGGGCCTCAACGACCTCTCGTGGAAGCCCATTCCACACCCTCGGGGTCCTGACTGTCAGGAGTTACTTCCTGGCATCCAAACGAAACCTTGGCTCCCTGAGCTTTGCTCCATTGGAGCGCATCCTGCCTGCCTCTGCAGGGGAGAACAGGTCTCTACCCTTCTCCATGTGACATCCTCTCACATACCTGTATGTCGCCAACATATCCCCTCTGAGTCTCCTCTTCTCCAGGCTGAAGAGACCCAGTTCCCTCAGTCTCACCTCATACCCCATCCCCTGCAAACCAGCCACCAACCTTGTGGCCCTATGCTGCACTGACTCTAACCTGGCTATATCCTTTCTGTAATGAGGGGCCCAAAACTGAGCACAATACTCCAGTTGCGGGCGCACCAGAGTCGTATAGAGTGGTAGTAATACCTCTCTTGATCTAGAAGCCACACTTCTGGCTATGCAACCAAGGGTGGCGTTCGCCCTCTTGACCAACGCGTCACACTGCTGACTCATGTTTAGCCTGCAGTCAACCAGTACCCCGAGGTCCCTTTCACAAGTGCTGCTCTCCAGCCACTTGTCACCTAACCTGTACTTATGACACCCATTCCTATGCCCCAAGTGCAAGACCTTGCACTTATCCACATTGAACGCCATCCTGTTGTCTCCTGCCTCCTATACCTCATGCCAGATACAGTTGTAGCAGGACTGAAAGCAGAACTTGAGTGATGGTGCTTTTCCTCCCTTTCATTATGGAGGCCAAAACATTGCTCATTTCTTATCATTCTGACTTAATGTTCAGTGCCTCTAATTCACTGAAATCCTTCTCCCACATTCTTATCCATTCCACCCAAAACCGAGGGAAGTCAGTTTCCAATTAGAACTACCACACTAAAGTTGTCCACCCTAAAGTTTCATGTAATGCCCTTGCATTGTTGTTGCATTTACAGCTTAATGTCATGTAAGCCAACCTTGTGCAAGTATTTTCTAAAAGACAAGAATGTTTGGACTTCACACTTCCATGATCTGCACTGTACTGTCCCAGTGCTCCAAAACTTTCATAGCTGGCTGAACTGAATGAAGTCAGCCAGCAAATCAAGGACAATTACTTTCAGTCAACCAACAGCTGCCCCTTATCCCCAAAATGAACAACATACCGGAAATTCTCTTTCAAGTGTGAATTTTTCATTTTGTATTTTCCTTTCTTGAAAAAATTTCCAAATCCCTTTAGCTTTTCTGTTCTGACATCACTAATAAAAAGGATAAATCATCAGATTAAAATCAGAAATGGAAAGTTTTATAATTCACTTTTATCATAATTTAAGGATGTGAAGTTGGCAGGAGCATTAATAATGGCAAAGGAAAATCATTCTGAACACAGCACAGGAACTAAGTTCTGGAATTCAACCCCACTAGCTTAGGAAATCTATAAAAAAATGATCACACAAGGACACAGTTCATGATTCCAAATAGAACATCCGTGTTCACATTTCTAAGTACTAGACACAAGCAAGAAAAATACGACATAAATTAAAATTGAATTCTGCCTTTCTACCAAGTGGTGCTAGAGATGACTATCCACCAGAGACAAAGCAATAATCAAAACATAAAATCAGTTGATAAAAAATTAGTACAAGTCATCAATATACCTAATTAGCAAAGGAACTAGTCACCAACATAGCTGATTAGCAAACAAACTGAGATCAAAATTCATGTTTAAGGAGGAAAATGGGATAACTACACAGATTTGTTTATGGAAAGTAAAAGAAGGGTACATGGGAGGATTATGTGAAAAATGATATTTCCCTGACCCCAACCCCATGAAATCCCATGAATAAGGAAAGGACTGTAAGTCCTGCCTAAAGAAAAGGCAGAAAGGCACAGAGTAGAGAACAGGCAGGCTTCCCTTGGCAGCGAGTTACACATTCCTTAGGAAGAGACACTGAGAAGGCATTTTCTCAAGTTTTTGCCCATCTTGCTCTGTTTGGGAAATCCCCAAAGCCATCTTGGCTTTAAACTAAAGGACTAAACAAAAGTGCTCCCAACATTTGATCCCACAGGGAAATTCTCACGTTAACTACTAGTCCTGATATTTTCACCTGCCCAATTATCCTGTGAAATAGGGGCATAGAAGGCTAAACCAAGGGCTCAAGGTTTTCCTATCTGTTCATAACACAGAATTGTCTGCTAGAAAGGATGTTAATTATTTTAATGGGGGGAGGAGCTAATTGGTTTGGAGCAAAACAAACAAACAAACCAAGATTGGGTATTCTGGTATCACAAAGATATTTCTTAAATAGCAGATCTTTGTTAACAAACAGAACTCAGAAACCCCTCTTGTAAAGTTGGTTCCCCACTACCAACAACCCTCTAGTCTACAGGTGGAGAATGGAGACTGATCCTGCTCCACAGCAGTGCTGGTAGCCAACTGCTGCCTGGAGAGACTACAAAGAAAGGGACACTTAACAGCAAAGCAGCGCTTCTTTCAGAATTTAAGTAACTGTCTGGACTGACCAGACAGAAAGGATGCAGTCAGCACTGTAAATCCAGTGATTGGCTTTGCATGCCACACTGATTCACAGGCTTAGCAGATCATCTGAACCCAGAATGGTTGGTCATCGTACCTTTAAATTTAGCTTCTAAGCCATGCTGACAAGTCATGGCTTGTTATATGGTTTAATTAAGTCATGGTGGCTTGTGAAGTCATCGGAACCCAGATGCAGCAGCAACAACCTTTCACATGTTTGCTCTTGCCAAACAGTACTTGGGGAGAGTTAGTATAGGCTTCCATCCCCTGCCATGACTATGACCTGCTTTGGACTTGCTGTGGCTGTTTCCCCTCAAACCCCTTTCCCCCAGCTCTTGAAAGCCAGCTGTCAATTCCACTTTTGCAATTTCCCTTCTTACTGTTACAAGCTGTCTCTTGAAGGTGCCTCCGAAGTATTTTGCAGCTACTGTCCATGTTTGCCAAATCTTTTTAAAAACCATCCACCACCTCCAATTTTTGCAATTAATTTTCTGAATCCCAAACAACACATACTGCAAGTCACAGAGACACTGTGAATTAAAATGCGGTTCATGCTTCTACAGCTGAACAGTTATAATTATTGTTGTCCTTATACAAGTCTAAACAGCGTAACAGTGCATGCAGAAGTCTAGAGAGAGTCTCACCCACCCCCACGTTTGTAAAAAGCAGTGAGCTGCCTATTAGGTATACTGTACTTTACTACCTACCCCAGAGGCCAGTTGTAACACAGCCTGAATAGTCACACACATTAGACATAGACACCCCTAGCTTCTTCTTTCATCCTGTTGAAGAAAAAGTTGGAAGGCCACATTTGCTAGGATGGCTATGAGACCCGGGCCATGCAGTACTCCAGACACAGATCTCCCGAAAGACGTTCACTGGGCAGCAAACAGCCTTTGCTGCAACTTCGCGTCACTTAGTGGTACAGAATATATGCATATTCCTGCCATGCTGTCTCTGAGCGTGGCTCCTGGGACCAGAGTAAGGATGCTTCATAGAGCAGCATAAACCAATGCCCTGACCCAGTCAAGCGTAGGTGAGCAACCTGTGGCCCCTGGCCTACGTTCATGTGGTTACCAGTCTGGTTTCAAAAGCCCTCAGCAAGCAGTCAGTTTAGACATCTGTCAAGAGCCATTTCCACTTAGTAGGAAGCCAGAGGAAAAGAAAGAAAAGTTGGGGGCAGAAAGAGAAGGAAAAAGGGGTGGCCCGCCCACTCTTACTTTCACTCTGCTGTCTCGAGCTCCACCTATCACCTTGTGACTGTTGACAGAAGAAAAATATTTTCCCACCACAGCACTGAAGTCACATTCAAGGCTCTGAGATATTCTGTTTTATTCAAGTGTTAACTAGCAACCTCTCCCAGTAGCTCCCATGTTCTGTGTCTACACTGAAGTAGACCTACGTGAGAACACACACATCATCTAATAAAACAGCTTGGACAAGTCTGATTCAGGTAAAGGTGGTTTAAAAATAGTAAAAATCAAATGGTGATGTAAAATAAAATAAAATAAAATAAAATAAAATAAAATAAAATAAAATAAAATATTCCCAGGTCATTAAATTCTGGAAAGTATGTGTAACACAATGTATACCTCAAAAATGAATCGATTCATATTAAATACCATGCTGTGTTTAAGCAAGAGTTGGCTGCAGCAGCCCTTTTGAATGATGAACACACCGTTGTGGCTCGTTGTACCACGTGAACCTGGGGGCTGGGGGCTATGCTTGAACCTTGCCTTGCCCACAAGCCCCAAGTTTGCACTGCACACTTCAGCTGCACACTGAATGTGCCAATCCCTCCAAGCACATGTCAACGTGCACCATGTCTTAACATATGCAAACTGGGTCAGTGTATAATGGTACAAATATTTGTCTCATACAAGCCTCATAGTCAAGGAGCCATGGTTGGCCACTGTTCCCTGTTGAGTGTGCTCATAGTGAAAACGTTTTCTCTTCCTGATGTGTTACAAGGATAAGGCACCTAGTCAGTTAAAAGACTATAATATATCATTATATTATGATATAATGACAAGACACTCACTTTGACTTGACTGAATTATATGCTTCACTTTGAACATCCTCATACGTTTCTTCATAGGTAGCATCTGGAACTTAATACAGAGGAAGTTATCGTTGGATACAGTGGTGTCCTTAAGCTGAGAGAACTGCTTTCATTGGCAAATCTAGCATGCAGCCTCAAAAGCTGTTCTGGACACTGGGAAATCCTCTGCAGCAAATTTTGGGATGGCACAGGAGACTGCAGACTCCATTGCCTTTGTGGACATCTGCTGGCATGACATCAGATTTGACCCTCTTTCAAAAATTTTGAGTTCTAGTAATGAAAGTGAAATGCTGCTCAGGACTAGCAAAACTAGTCAATGAACAATAGAGTATTTATTATACTTCAATATTAAGATAGCACAAGTATTTCTGGAGCATCCAGCTGAAACCTTGAGGTCAAGTGTGGGTTGGCTGGGCAACAGCCAAAATAAACCACTATATCTCCAAAGTTCAAGAGATTTTAAAATGAGTAGTACAAATAATGGCAGTTAAGGGTTAATGTGAAGGACACAGAACTTAAGATGCCAATGGAAGGGCAGCAGGACAGAACCACTGGAAGTGGATGTTTATTGTGATATATCTTATATGATCAGTCATGAGGAAGGGAGTTTTCCTTTCTTGTTAAACAACCATCTAAAGAAGCTTTTCAACACACAATATCTCTTCCCACAGTGTGTGGAGTATAAAATGAATGCAGGCATGTTTGCTACATAATAATGTCTCAAAAGAATAAATGCATTAAATTCTACAATGTCTTTTTACAGTCTATTGTACACAGGGGTTTCCTTAAGGTAAGTGCACAGCATGACAATTGATTTCATGGGGTCAGGGGAAGCTGAAATGTTAAACCCTAAAGAATTATACCACAAGCCTGAAGGTATTTAATGTTGTGTGAATTAGACTCCAGCTTTTATATTTGTTTTATTACTTATTAAACGTATGTCCTGCATTTCTTCCAAGGAGCTGATGGGGATGTAAATGACAGCTCCCTCAGTTTTTATCCTCACAAAAGTCAGTTAGGTAGAAAGTTGGTGACTGGTTTAAAGTTACCCAGTGAGTTTCATGGCTGAGTAATGATTTGAATCTTGGTATCTCCAGTCCTAATTTGACATGCTAATAAGAAAAGGAATAGCTGTGGGCAAGCTTCACACACACACTTTATTGTAAGGAAAATTGTGAGGTGAAAAGATGGGGTGAAATTCAAATTCACAGCATTTTACAAGTAGAAATATTAATATTCCAAATAAAGTGGGGGGCCATTGGAAGGTGATAAGCCTTCTTTCTATAAATCTCTGTATTTAAATGAGCTGTACATATATTGTACTTGTCTTAATAGCAACTTGCTTTAATAAGTTTTCTAAGACCATATAATTGATATAGTCCTTGATTAAGCATATATAAGATAACTGAACCAGAAGAGGAGATTAAAAACGATCACTGTTCCTGCAATGAAACATTCACATCAAATTATATTAAAAATGAGGACAACCGTGAGTTCAGCCACTGCACACAGAATTGCTACTATTAAGTGTTATTGTGAGCAAATCTTTCTCTCATAAAAGGATCATTTTTCATCTGACAGTACAATGATAACCTGCAGATATTTTAGTGTGGTTGCTTTCAATAAAAGAGAGTCGGGAAACTGTCCCTGCTCAACCACAACACATGCTGGGTGACCTTCCTTGGGCAGAGAAAGTGAACAAAATGAGGGGGTGGTGAAGGAGAACCATTTATACAATGCTGAACTCCTCTGAGGAAGGATGGGATGAAAAACTGAGTGAGCCCAGGAACAAATAGCTAAAGAAACACATCCAGATAAGATGAATGCGCAAGGATAGCTCAGGTCTGAGCAAGGGCATCGCTAGATTCAGAAAGAAGGTGGAAGGCCCTCACAGGACCCCAGGACAACTAGTGGGCATGCCTCACACTTGGAAGGCCCACCCTGGCAACTCCACCTGGCTGTAGAGCAGCCTGCCCCAGACAACCTGCCCTTGTGGTGCATTGGACTGCAACTGCCAGCACAGCCCAATGGGCTGGAATTACTGAGTCAAGTTGCCTGAGCATGCTGGGCACTGGAGTCCAACACATCTGAAGGGTACCAGGCTGGGAAAGACATCTCTTCTGGGTGAAGGAGGACCCATATTCCTAGATCCATTTAGCCCATTGCATAGGAAAACAGACAGAACAATTCCCATTGAATAGATTAGTTACCAACCACTGGGCTGTCTGGATACTACAATGTTAGATTGACAAAGGGATCCTGAACAATATTCTATACATGGGTTTGCATGCAACTATTAGTTGTTTAGCAGATTCTCCCCTGACCTTCACACATGCAGACTGAATGCTAAATAGATTGGGAGAAGGGTCTCCTCATCTGCTCCTCTGAAGAGGACTTAGTCAATAACTGTTATTACAGCCTTAGAAGTCAGCAGTATTATTCTATTGTTAGAAAAGGGGAGCTGAGCTGAAGCCAGAGTTAGTTCACTGTTGACCCAAGACTTGACCCAAGATGCCCAGGTCATGCTCTTTACCAATGTATTATATTAGAAAGATTTATACCAGACCAGACCATGCCTTATTGCAAGGGAGTGTATTCATTTATCTGAACTATGAATTTGTTTGGCCACAAGTCCAGAACAAAAGGATGAGTAGGAACTCTAGGATGTCAGGGGGCTTCTCACAGAGCCCTGGAGAGCCAGTGTAGTGTAGTGGTTCCGCTGTTTGACTGGGAACCTGGGAAATCTGTCTTCTACCCCGCACTCAGCCATGAAGCTCACTGGGCAACTTCGGGCCAGTCACTGACTCTCAGCCTAATCTATGTCAAAGGGCTGCTATGATGATAAATGAGGATGAGGAGTATTAATGTAAACCATGCTGGGTTATTTGCAGGGGGAAAAAGGCAAGGTAGGAATGTAATAAATATATACAACTCGGATGTAGGCAATACTAGAGTTGAATATATACTGGAAACAAGCCTGTGAAATGCTTGATTAAGTAGATAACATTATATGAGCAACTGAAGCAGTTTACTTGAGGCCATTTGCTGTACGCAGGCATGTCTTTTTTTTCTTTTTGGCAACAGTTAGGATAATGTAGAGAATTCTTTGGGAGTTCAGTAGACTTTTTCAAGAATAAGTTCCACAGATGCTCAGTTGCTCTATTTTGGTAATTTTGAGAAGTGTTACTTTCACACTTACAGGTGTCTGAAGTGAATGTGTGGGAGGCCTCAGACGCTTGCCTAGAATAGAAAATATTCAGAAGAGTCATTTCGAATTTATGCTTCAGATATTAAAAGATATTTTCATCCCCTGCCCAAGTTAGGCCTCCATATTGTTCCACCTCCCACCATCACAACCAGTTCCCAGAACACTCACAGTTCCCTCTGTAGTCCTTCGACATCATCATACACCTCTGCCATAGGCTGCTCCAGTCTGGAGGCTCTCAGACCAATGCTTTCCTTCTCTTCATCTATTCTCAAGGTTTCCAGGCACACATAACCATCTGAAACAGCAACAGAACTCCCCTTTACAGAGTTTCCTGAACCCATAACAAAGGGGCAGAATACTTAAAAGGATACCTGTCCTATGTATGTTGAACTGCAAAAAGGCCTCTTCCTCCCAGCCAGCCACTTTTAATTTCCTTCTGAACAGGTATTGGAACAAAGCTCTGATTTATGCTCAAGTCACAACACAGCATTCCACAAACTCCAAAGGAAAGCTATTGAGAGGCTGCCAGAAACTCCATGCATGGTTCCTCAAAAGCCACAGCACTGACAAACTACAAAGCTCCTTGAAAAAAATTCAAATATTAGAGGACTGTCATAAAAAGTCCGCAGATCTTAACTGAAGTTAGACAGTTGTGAAATCAGTTAGACTTGATTGAGACAGAAGTACAGAGGAAGTACAGAGGAAACCAACTTAAAAAAAAGCACTTTGAACAAGCAAATGAACCTGGAAGATATCTAACATGCCGTCTCAAAAGAGAAATGAAAAAGATATTGATAGAAGGAGTAAAGATGGACAGGTGAATTGATCATGTGGAGAAAGAGATATATGATCAGTTTAAACTTTTTCCAAAACTGTGTAAAAAAAGCTCAATCTCAGAAGATTGAATGTAGCAATACATAGAGGAAGCCCTTACCGATAAATTTATTTCAGGTCAAAGAAATGCCACATGGCCCTATTATCATACAAGAAATTTCACAGGCAATTAAAAAACTAAAAAAAAGGATAAGAAACCTATAACAGATGGTCTCTCCACAATGTATTATAAATGTCTAGAGGAAAAAATTAAAGTTACCACTCCAAGAAGTAATGAATGAAATTAAAAATGAGAAATCATTATGTACATCATGGCAAGAAGCCCATATAACATTGATATACAATGAAGGCAATGATTCTGCTTTGCCACAGACTTATAGACCCATTTCATTATTAAATGTAGACTACTAACTTTTTACTGTGATAATGGCTGAAAGATTAAGTTGTATAGAAAAATAGGTCCATACAGACCAAACTGGATTTATCCCAAAGAGATTTATGAAAGACAATGTCACTTTGTGATTAATGCTATTGAATTTGTTAAGAAGAAAAAGGCTGCATATATCTGCCAAAAAAAGCCTTTGATAATGTGTCTTGGTCCTTTTTTGCTGATAACTTTTAAATAGTTAGAACCTGGTCTGAGATTTCTGAACTGGATCCAAGCAATTTATACTAAGCAACATGTTAAAATAATCATAAATGGAATACTAACCAATAATTTTCAAACCAAAATGGAAACCCATCAAGAATGCCAACTATCTCCACTTTTATTTACCCATGTATTGGAAGTTTTAGCTAAGAACATTCAACAGGACTCAGATATAAATGGCTTAAAAATAGATGGAGAAGAATATAAAATGAAAAGTATTGCAGATGATATACTTCTGACCATTTTAAGTCCATATTTATCTAAACAAGTAATAGATAAAATTGAAAAATTGGATATTATTCCAGTTATAAAATCAATAAAAAGAAAATGAAAATTATATTGAAGTTTTTAATAAAATAAGAAGAGGAGAGAGAGAGAGAGAGATTTTTTTTCAGTCTATGAAATAACATCATATCTGGACACAAATGGCACAATGTGACAGGAAATAATGATATAGTATTTCAAGGTAATTATGAAACATCCTGGATAAAGATGTTGAAGACTTAAATTAAAAGTTTCATGGCCTAAATTAAAAGTTTCATGGCTAGGAAGACTCTCCATCATAAAAATGAATGTATTACCAAAATTTAACTTCCTGTTTCAGATATTATCAATTACAATACACGAAAAAATGTTACAAGATTGGCAAAAAAATTGAGTGTTTTATTTGGAATGGAAAAACAGAACAAAAACAAGCATTAGATTTAAAGCACTACAAGATGGAAAGAAAAAAGGAGGCCCTGCAGTACCAAAAATTAAATTAACTATCACGCAGCAGGCATAGTATGGATTACAGACTCGATTTTTAACTTCAGTGAAAGATTAGTTAAATTGCAAATTGCAGACCTAGAGGAAGGAATACACAATCAACTATGGGCTAAAGAATCAATTAAAAAAGCATTGATTCCAAATAATAGTCATGCATTTAGAGATGGTTTAATAAAAAGTTGGTATGTCATGAGAAGAATTAGTCCTGCAATCTCTCCTATATTCGCTCCAATAGAAGCATATTGTGGAAAACATTCTAGAAAAAACAATGATATTATAACATATGGAGAAATTGTTGACCACCAAGGGTGGATTAAGTCATGGCAAGAATTAAAAGATGAAGTTAAAAACATAGAGTGGCTTCTTTATCATCAGCAAGTCTCAAGATTAAAAAAGGAAATTCAAATGGGAAAAGGCTTAATAAAAAAAATGATGGACTTTTAAATTATAATTAAAAATCAAGCAGACCATCTCCTAGGACGTATTTATAAACTGCTTAAACATGATACTGAGACTCAACAAAACAAAATATGCACGAAGAGCTGAATGCAGACTCCTCAAGAAGAAATATTGGCCCCCCAATGGGAAATCTTATGGATGAAGGACATAAAATTTACTGCAAGCCAAGCACTAGAGAAAATTGGTATAAAGATGTATTTCCAGTGTTATATTACCCCAAAAGTTATACAGAAAATGTACAAGAATTATAATGGAAAATATTGGAAATGCAAAGAGATAGTTTTTACCATATGTGATGGTCATGTGCCAGAATGAAAAAAAATGGAGGCAAATACATGCTGCAATGAAGAAAATATTCAAAATGGACTTTCCAATGAATGCCAAGAACATGGTACTGAGTATTGCCCCAGAGACTATCCCAAAGATTATGACAGACTTAGACATATATATGATAACAGGGACAAGAGTGATAATTGCCTCTGAGTGGAAAGCTGAAGACTGTCTAGCTGTCAAAGATTGGAAAAACAAACTAGCTGAGTTTACAACCATGGTGAGGCTAACTAGTTATGTCAACAAAAGACCAGTTAAAGAATTTACTCAAAGATGGAAGGCTTGCTATGAACAATTCAAATAATAGCTGAAGAAATACAATACTTATCAATGTTTGTGATTATTATTCATTACCAAAGCAATGTTATGATCTATAACTAACTGTATAGGCTTGATAAATATATGACTGAGAATTGAATGGGCTGGATGGGAAAGTGGAACAAACAAACAGACTTTTGTTTATTGTAAAATATATTTTGGTTTCTTTTTTCCTATATACCCTTTTTCTTTCTATTATATTTTCTGAAAACAAAGACTTGGGGAAAAATCCATTGCACTGTCTATGGCCAGCCAATATTTTCCATCATTAGATTGTCTTCCGGAGATCTAAGACCCGGCTGCCTTTATGAAAGCTGTGGTTGCAGGAGTCTGTTGAAAGCCAGTCTTGCCAGAATTCAGAGCTGAGCTACACACTCATCAAATCATGCAGAGCAGAGCTGTGTGTAGTGACTGACCTATTCATACCTCAATGTAAGCACAAGTGATTCCAGTTCAGAGTGCAGCTCTGGAACTCAGGGCTGTGTGCGTTTGTGTGTGAGTGAGTGAGTGTGATTAAAGCTTCCTTGTCTCCATTTTCATCCCAAAATTCCACTCTATCCACACATGGGAGCTGTTACAAAAAGAAAGAAGTCTCCTTTTCTTGAAGTCTTTCTTTCCCTTTTTTAAAGCTTTCCTTTAGGATAATTGAATCAAATTTATGGATGAAGTAAGAGCTGGACAAGGAAAATTAAACTCTCTTCTTCCAAAGTACCACTCTGAAGGATACCAATCTGAATTGGGGCCATGCACACTTTCAGGAGAGTTAGAGAGGCAATCATAAATCTTAAATAAATGCTTGACTAAAGGATCACTTAGTTGTCCTCAGCAGCATTTATACAACTGCCATGCTAAAAGATTAGGCAGCTGACACGTTTTGGCACTGGCTGATTTGTCTCTTCCTCTCTATCTCCCACTACTCACCAAAATTGCCATGTGCTCCGAAACAAAAGGCCCAGAGAAATAAGTCAAATTGACCAGAGTAGCACTCACATAGTAGCTTAAGCTTATTTGACAGACTATTTCCAGGCAGAGAAACTAAAACTCAAGGGTGTGGATAAGCAAGTTTGAAAGGGTTCTGTTTTGAGTGAAATGTTAACATATTTTAAATGTATGCCTTCTCTTCAACTGTTTCCGTCTACAGTGTAGTAGCTGTTCCAAAGGGTGACTTTGGCAAGGATCTCAGGAGATAGTAGTAACTAAGATTCTCATGAAGTAGTAGCAACTACATGCTTTTGTCAGTTAAAGGACTGAAATTCCAACACTGGAAGGATAAATGTTTACCACCTATAAGGCAATGGACTGAGGATGTAATGACATTCTCAGTATTTGAATAAATGCCATATGGACAGCACCTCTAAATGTACACATGCATTGGTATTTGTTGTAGCTTATGTATGATTGATAAGTGTGCGTGTGTGGTGAGATACAGAGATTTCTATGGCTTTCTTGTAACTTCCAGTGAAAAGTAATTAAAAAATAGAAGCAGCAAAAACAGAACTATGAGAGCAGGTGTGTAGAGTGTACACAACACAGTTGAATTTATTGTGTGGAAAGACACGTACTTGGCTCCAGGTTTTTGAAACTGAAGGGGCTGTGCTGTGCTTTTATATTTTTATTGTATAATATTTTAATTGATATATTTGTGAGCCGCCCCGAGGCTTCGGCGAATGGGGCGGCATAGAAATTTAATAAATGAATGAATGAATGAATGAATGAATGAATGAATGAATGGTGGCTGCTTTAAGCAATGGATTGGAAGCCATGCAGGTTTATCTTGTCCCTGGGGGGTGGGGGGGACACATGCTATCTCCTGCAGATGCCTTTTCCTACTGCTGCTCTGCATGCATGCAGATTCACATCTGGGCCCTGAGCATTCTAACCCTACCTGCAAAGCCAATAAAGGGGTCATGCCATTTTTCTCTGCTATCCTACAAGTCCTGATGAGGCAGGCTAATGGCTTTCAGTGGGAATCACAAATGCATCTAAGGCTGAATTAGGCTTTTACACAGCAGTGTTTAGGCTTGGAAGAGATGGAACAGCATGGAACAAGCCCCGCTTCCAGCTTGCAAGTGCTGGGAGGCTCTTTTGTATTTGAAAGCAAAACAGGTGACATTAGCAGCGCTGTTAGAGGAGATTCACAGACAGCACACGTGTCATCAGGAAATTAAAGGTAGCACAGACTTTTGCCAATAAAAGCCCAAAACTGAAAAGAAAGGGAGAAGAAATGTTCACCAAGTGACAAGACAAGCTCAAAGCTTTGCACAGCAGGCCTCTGGAATAATTTAGAAAACAAGGCCTTGTTCTATTCTTAGTTCTTCATCAAAAGCTTATAAGCAGATTTACCATATTTTTCGCTCTATAAGACGTACTTTTTCCCCCTCAAAAGTAAGGGGAAATATCTGTGAGTCTTACATAGCAAATGTGTGTGTGCCCAACGCCTGGGACGCTGCCAGCCGCCTGCACCACGTGGCACCACCTGGCCGGCATGCGCTTGGTGCACCCTGCTCGGCCCCCCCACCCCCGGCACAGGTGAGAGCTGTGCCGTTCAGGGGGAGGCGTGCGGAGGAGGAGGAGGAGCCACGGCCTTTAACCCGCCAGCCGCACAGAGAGCACGGAGAGACGGACTGCTCACCCCCACCGCCCGGGAAGACCTGCTGCTGCCGCCACCGCCGCACCGCCCGGAAGACCATTGCCGGCACGCTGCTGGCCGCCTGCACCATGTGGCACCATCTGGCCGGCACGTGCTCAGCACGCCCTGCTCTGCCCCCCACCTCCGGTGCAGGTGAGAGCTGTGCCGCTCAGGGGGAGTGGTGCGGAGAAGGAGGAGCCGCGGGCTTTAACCCGCCGGCCGCACGGAGAGACGGACTGCTCACTCCCACCGCCTGGGAACTGCTCACCCCCACCGCCTGGGAAGACCTGCCGCCGCCGCTGCACCGCCTGGAAGACCACCACTGGCACGCTGCCGGCCCCATGTGGCACCACCTTAAAACTAGGTGCATCTTATGGTCAGGTGCGTCTTATAGAGCGAAAAATACAGTATGTGCTTCTAACAAGTTCTGGGTCCTTCTCGAACTGTTCTAACAAGAGTTACTGTTATATGGCAGGTTGGAACATGCTTCGTGTGCATTATGTAACTGATACCCTTACGAAAACTCTTCAAGTCAGTACTGTTGCTCCCATGCCACAGACGGAAGGGACTGAGACCAAGGATGAGTCTCTTACCAAAGAATATCTATAGCGTGATTGTGCTTTCCTGTGAATGTATTTGGATCATATTCCAATGGCAGCTAAGCACTGTTGTATTTTTGAATATGAACATGAACCAGAATGCTGCGTGCCATCAAATCTATGTATTTCCAAAATCTGCATACAGAAATACCTACAGTTCACAAAATGCACGAAAGTGTACACATATGCATACACAAACTGCACACCAAACTGATATTCAGTGGATAAAAATAATACATTTACAGGACTATGTTAAAAATGTATATTTTGAAAAAATGTACACAAATAAGGATTTTAAAAACACAGGTGAACATGCATACAAATATTCATGCAGACTAAATAGGAAAAAATGTGATCCCATGAAGCACTGGAACAGAACTTAGTATTAGAAAAATGTCAGCCTGAGCTTAATCAAGCATGGCACTTTGCCAGTCCTAATTTATGTTAAAAGATAAATCTGGACCAAGGACTCCTGATCTGTGGCTGAGACTCCTTATTTTTTATTTATTATTTATTAAAACATTTTTATGCCGCCCCATTCGCCGAAGCCTCCTTAGCACTTGATCCCAGTTCTTTCCTTTCAGCCTGGATGTACTCATCAGCCACTGTATTTGTTGCTCCTATGACATGTCAAGAAAAGTTATGGATACAGCCCTACATATACTTGCTTAGGGGTAAGCCCAACTATTTTTTTTAAGCAGCAGCAAGAAAATACTTACAGTTCCCATCATTTTCTAGCCCAGTTCCAAGGTTAGTCTGTGCTGTCCCTTCTTGTGACATGCTCTTCTCACCTCTGCACTCCCCACTGAATTTAGATTTATCTTCTTGGTCATCGATCTGATAAGCAAACATTTTGACACGCAGATTAGCACTCTTTTAAAACATTCCTTGCCCAATTCATCATATAGCAAAGACCAACTTAATATCCTGCCATCAGCAAACTCAGAGCAGCTTAGGTCATCTCCCATCCAGGAGCTGACCAGGCCCAGGAAGCTAGTTTTGTTAGCATCAGCAAACTGGTTGCATCATGTGCCTTCATCCCAAGCATGGCAAGGAACTCCTTCCATCTATGACACCATCAACATTCATGGAACTTCTGAGCATGCACGCAGAGCGCTGCATGGCACATCATCTCTCTTTTACAAGCAAGAAAAAAAAAATAGCAACACAACCAGTGAATGTGAAGAGATGGAAGGAATAAAGTAGAGGCATTTTATGGAGTACTTGTCAGGGATATTCTTCAGGGGTGAGTGCAGGAGAAAGGAGTCACAGCTGTGTGGTACAGGATATACACTGCATACAGTCGGTTCCCAACTCAGCTCCTAGTATTTCCAAGTGTAGTGAAAAATTATTGGAGGAAAGGCAAGCAGTTTTCCAGAGTCATAATAACAGCACCATGCTAGCACCAGAATGTGTGCAGCATCATGCTAGATGGACATTGCATGCAAGACATTTCATGTAAGGATATGTCCCACCAGAAAATCAACCCTAAATTCAAGCAAGCCCCCAGCCAAGATGCCAGCATGGCCACCAAGGCTGAAGTCTATGGAGTGCTGGAGCATACATGTTTGAGAAAGCAGGCAACTGGAGATGGAACTTCAAGGGAGTGACCCCCTGAAGGGGATTAGGAGAAGTTTTCTACTGGAGGCTATTATGTACTGCATACAAAGGAATGGCAATGGAATGCAAAAATAAGGAGCCATCTTTCTCTGCAATATGAACCACTTCAATTGAAAAGTTTACTGCTGCTTGACCTCACATTTGCCATGCAGAAGTTAAGCTTAGAAAAAGAGAATCATCATACAGCCCCCTCCTTCCATTTTGTGTAATACCCCTCTGTTTAGATGTACCTTGTCTATTTCTTTAGTTAGTTGTGTTGACAACTCATGATTCCAGGGTGCTCCTCTCAATTTTGTATCTTCTGTTTCAGCACTGAAATGTTAATGGATAACCAAGTTATCATGCCACAATCTTGCAAACATTATGGAGGCTCACATGTGCAGATTTCACAGCATGTCTGAATGGATTGTAGGCAGTTTTGTAATAAGTTGACACATAAATCCAATAAACCATAACCCTGTGGGGGAATTTTGTCACTAGATTGCTAAATACTGGGAACTTGTCGCCTGTATATTAGGATTACACTTTATCTAGGAGTTAAGAACAGTTGCCTAGTTTGTATAAACTGCAACACTGTTTTGTTTTGGAGCAGCATTTATTGTAGCAGTGACTCCTCTCTTTCTCCCTTTGCTCTCTTTCATGTCCAGTTATTTTGGAGAAGCAGCAAGGCCAATATGGATGCTTAAGAGAACAAAATTTACTGCCTGGCATAGTTGAAAGGAGTAGTGCAGGCGGCTGCCTCCGTCTGGCCACAGTGCTGCCTAACGTCGGACAGCAACATGGCAGGCTCGCCATCATATTCATGACCTGGCGCAAGCCATGACTGGGTGGCCAACTCAGGGGCAGGCCAGCAGTGCAAGAGTGTGCAGCAGCTTGCCTCAGCCAAATAGGAAAACCAGACTTCTCCCTGCTACCCAGTAGGGCTGCCTGCTCCCTGGCAGCCAGCTCTCCCGCAGGGTTTATCTGGATCTGTGTACAAAACTATCCACATTCTGAGCAGGTCTAAGTATAATCTATAGTCACAGCAAGACAGACTCTAGTGAAAGTGAATAATAGAAAATCCTATATGGCAGCTTAAAGATTTGTTTTGTAAATGAAATGTGCTTGCTTAAGTTTTCTCAGATGATTTTTTCCTCAATTGAAATTGAATTCAAGTAAAACAGAAATACTTTTGACCAGGCCAGGAATATGTCCATTTGGGAAACAGATGTATAACCTGTAAAGGTGGCCCTCCCTGAGAGCTGGAAATGCTTCTGGATACAGGATGGCTAAAAGTGCTGTTTAAGTGTCAGAGCATCAGACGCTACGGTATTCAGTATTGCTCAACCATATTGTGGTGGTCATGAGGCTTGTCTTCTAGGGCAGAATAAAACCACTGCAGAAGCCATTACATGTTTCCTTCATGTTTGTGTTAACACAGAATGGGGTGGAAAATGTTTGGAAGGTGGACAAGGGCACTTTTCAAGCTGTGGACCTTCCCTTTCCCATGGGTTCCACTTCCAGCATCAACATCTGGTGGCACACCTCCACAGATTCTTCAAAAGATAGATTCAGCTTGAAAGCCAGAAATTGTTTTTGCCACCAGTACAAAGTGGTCAATTTTGGTGGTGCCATACATTGTTGATCTCTGACAGGGATTTTCTTGATAATTCAGAAAATTGTTCAGTTATCATAGATATTCATAGTAATTAACTGGACTGGACAACCCAGCAGCTTGTCCAGCTGGGGTGAGGGCACCCTCCAATGTGACATCTGTAAAGGGACCCTCCAAACTTGGAGAATTATGGGTATCCAATCTAGGGCATCTGGAACATGAAGGGTGATCTCAGAGATATAGATGGCAATCTCAGCTGTCTATGTCTTTCACCTTGTGCTAAGAAGAAGGGGCTGAGCCACCACCAGAATTCCTCCTAACCTGCTGGACTCTCACCCCTTCCCACCCATGGAATGCCTCTCCTGCAGCAGCTTCAAACTCACATTTGGGGCAAGGTAAAGCAAAACAACACCCAAAACCTGCTGGCTGTAAGTTCACAGGCAGGAAGTTTCATGGTCAGAGTTGCAGCTCTTAGAGTTCCAGGGTTCCTCAGAAGGCATCCTTACCTAAACTATGGCTATCTAGACCTCATCTAGCAGCCATAGATTAATTACCTCTTTAGAAGATTACAAAATAGTGTCTTCATATTTTTATGTTTTCTTTCTCAGCCTAGTATCTACCAGTGTTTTGTCTAAAAAGATTCATGTTGATCTCTATAATGCTCCAGTTTACGTTGGATGAACCAGTTCTTTGACAGAATGAGGATGAAATCCATACAAAGTTTTAAAACAAATTCAAGATACCCACAGAGTTACTACTTCTTTGATCTGTCTTCCTTCTGTCAGCAAATTGTATGAGGTACTCCATAAAGATGCTCCCAATGTTCTGCCAAGCCACACCCTTCAAATGAAAGCTATGACAGCCTATCCACTCCGAAAGGCTTCTGCTACAAAGTGAATGTTTCAGATAATCACTTCCCTCCTTCTGTTGGTGCTGTAGCTTGCCTCTTACAGAGGCAACCCTCACTAGTTTTGTGCAATGTATGTGGATTGTGGTAGAATCCAAAAATAAGCAAGGATTAGCTAAAAATCAGCAAGATGCCTGGATTACTGAATGCCTGGAGGAACTCTAACAGGCTAGTGGTCTTTCATGAAATTAGTGCTGGGTGTTAGTGAAAATGTTGCTAGGCATTATCTTGTTGGATTAAACAACAAAATGGTTTATGACATTTACTCAATCTCGAATTCTAATGTTGTACACATGTTTATTTCATCAGCCCCTTAGTGGCACTTCAAAAGCAAAAATGAAAATCAGACATTTCAAATATCTTACTTTGTTGACAAAAACAAAAATGAAACTCCAAAAATAACACTCACCCAGGGGTAGCAATGAATAATTTTTGTTTCTATACAAAACAAAGAGAGGAAAGTCAATACAAAGCAATGCAGTGTTGTTTGCCTTGAAGTAACCTATCTCAGAAATATCTTGGCCTACATTTGTGTTGCATATTCTTAATATGAAACATGGTCAGAATCCAAAGCAGCCACTAAATTACAGAGTTCCTGTGCACACACAAAGATGCACATGTGTGCCAATATTCCCCTCTGACTCTGACACCAAATGGACTGGGTTCTAGAAGGCCTGTCAACCTTCAGGAACAGGTTTTCATGTACAAAAAAAGAAGTGGGCTAGGAAGGAAAATGTGGCTGTACATTAGACTGCACAAGATGACAGTTCTCTATTGGAAGGGATGCCTGCCATCTATTTAGAATGCATTGTCTGTTTGAAGGGCTCCCCAGTCCAACTCTGGTTTAAAGATGAAGAACACTATGGTGAGATGTACACTATTTCTATTTAAAGCATAATACATTTTTGTTGAGATACATATGAATTAACCCCTTGACAATGGGCAATTTCATCCTCTGGTAATCCCCTGTGTACAAGACAAGGCCGTTGAATCCTCAAAACATGAATGTATATGGAGGCATGTTGTGAAGGTGTATTAAACAAGTGCTATGCTCACTTCACGAAGCATGAGTTCTATGGAAAACTTCTCATTTGTTGCCAGGGGAAATAGGCAAACTGAAATAGACTTGGCAATGTTTGCATAAAATCTCCATATGTGTATATATGCAAATTTAGAATCACTATAACTTAATTAGAATACAGTGCATGCTGCCATAGTGGGGACATCTATGACCAAGTGACCTGCTCAGCCTGCTGCTCATGTGCTAACCATTGGTGGGTGATACCATTAAGTTCCCCCTTCTCCCTGCTAATGGGTCTTCCAACAGAGTTTCTAACAGAGAACAGTCTTCCGAAAGTCTTTGAAACAGAGAAGCATGCTCTATAACATGGGACACAGAGTTCAGAGGCAATACCAAATCATGTGTACTAGGCTTTTCCAACATACTTCTGCTTCCTCTTTCCTCCAGTTTCTCTATCTCACTCCTACCATACCCACAAACCAACATTTGAGAGCACATACCTTGCTGTCTTCTTTTATTGCACCCTTGGAAACTAGAATAAATTGTTGTGCAATTAATATAGTTTCCCTGATGTTCCATATATTTATTATAAAGCCATAATAAAGGAGCATATCATGGCATCCGATTTCAGTTACAACATTATGTTGGTCTAATTCTATACCTGGGCTTCTCTTGAACATGCAGCTATTTTACAACAGCACTCCAGGAACAGGGTACCAAAAGCAGTGATCCTGTCTGTTTTTTTTTTAAGTCTACAAACTCATAAGGTGTACAAACTTCTAGTACAATTAGAAGTTTAGTTTATGATCAAGATTTGGATGCCACTTCTATTTGAACCTTGGTAATTGGTGGTCTAGAAATGCGGGCAAGTTAAAATGTTTACATGATAACCTGGACAATTTCCACGCAGGCACAAAGATTAGATAAAAAGCTATAAACGGGAGGGGTAACGTGGAAGTGCCAAGTAGCCAGAGTGACATATATGGCAGAATAAGGGATGAAGAGTTCCACTCACAGCAAGCAACCACCATTCCAGTACTCAGCTATCAAGTTCCTCCTTGCATGATAGGCATGCTCTCCTTAAATACTTAGGGGTGATTTTTAAAAGCATGTGTCCAGTTAACCACCTTGTTAAGACAACACTTCACTGCAACACTAATCAGATGAATTCATACTGCAAACTGATGAGCATCAGGGGTGCCTGAACATCTAACATAGCCCATAGACTGAATGAGTGAAGCAACGGGTATGACTCACAATGTGCAGGTTCTTGACCAGAGCTCTTGGAGCTCTCTGGTTGCTTTAGGTACGGTATGGTTTCATCGTACATGATCAATCCTTCTGTTTCAGTACTAAGAGAAATGGGGAGGGAAAACTGTTACTGCCTAAAACACCTTGTGAAAAGAAGAATCATAATATCTCTGACAAGATGTCTTCCTTGAAGAAGTGCAGAGTGGCATACATAGGACACCCATCCATCTATTGGTTAGGAAGAATACTGCTTAACTTCAGACATAGAGCCGTTATCAGATGCTTCCAAACTGTTCTTAGGTTCGGGGGGGGGGGGGAATGAGAGAGAGAGAGAGAAAGAGAGAGAGAGAGCGCACAAAGGAAACATGCAAGCTGTGCAACCCATGTGTGTCATATGAACGGAAAATGCTCCACGTTTACAGTGCCTAGATTGCCCTGTACATAAAGACAATACAAGACCTTTGAGAATGATGGTAGGTGCAGCAAAGATATTAGGAGAGCAGCTGCCCAAGCAGCCAGTCTTGGACAGGTCCGGAGATGCTTTGAGGAAGGCTGTGGACAGGAGGACATCAATAACTATGGAAGATACAAACCCCTTCTGGTTTGAGGACATGACACCAAGTTGACCCCCCTCCAATTCTCTTGCCAAGAGCTCCTTTCATGAACATACTGTTGACAAATGCTAACAAAATGACAACCTCTCTAATCCACATACCATTCAGTACCATGCTTTTGATAGCATTCTATTAAACTAAAGAAGATGAATTATTCACCTACCCCAAGGGGAGTTATGTCACCAAAATGTTACTTAACTAAGAGAGAAATGCATTTGTCAGTCAATTCCTCCCTAAATCTTATCAAAAACTGGACCTGACAGAAGCCAAACTTGTCATGAACAGATCCCAATCATGTGACTCAGCTAGTTTATCAGTGTCTGAGCATTACTAAGATGACCTTGTAGAATGTAAGCTACAAGGGGATGGAAGGAAGCCAAGCATCTAGCCAATGCCCACTTACGGTATTCATCAAACACTTGTCCTTCTGTTTGTAAAAGATACTCTGGTAAACTACATCTGATATGTACATTAACTCAACTATGTAAGAACAAGCCTTCTAGAAAAATTGCTGGCTGCTAACTACGTTGGATAAGCTTCAACGCAGCCCACTCTTAGGTTCCTTTCCTTTCTCCTAGCCTAGTCCAGCTGACTAAAGCACCCCTTCTGAAACTACAGCAAGGCCTTGCAGTTACACCTCCCTTCCTCGGTTTACTTACTGGCTTACACATCTTGCTGAAGTGATAGGAACAGACTTGATTTATATTGACACATTTATCTGCTTATCACAGTACCAGATATCCAAGACACTTGCACACAGAGAGAAAGGTCCAAAAACAAGCCATACTGAAAAAGCTGTCTAAACAAAGACCTGCAGACAGCAATGTACATAGATTAAGCCCACACATGCTGCATAAACAGAAGCAAATGCGATCAAAGGCCCTGTCTGCTGACAGTCAGTGATAACAAAAAAGTGGGTTCTCAGCACCTGCAGATTAAGCCAGCCCGAGTGTTTACAGTCCTTAAAGTATGTAACTTCAGAAATGTCAAGCCAGACAGAATGGAGAAGTGGGGGAAATATGGAGTGGGAGTGAGCGGAAAAAGCACGCAGCCACGCACCCTGTTTACTGCAAATGAGCACCAGAAAAAGTTATCTAGGATGAGTCAGAACTGAGTCTTGAAAACTATATACATGAAAAGAAGTCATGTCAGATTTCTGCATTTTCTATTTGGCTATGCCTATGAAACAACCTGAATCCCTGGGTTAAGCACAGTCAGTCATTACTTTCTAAATAAAGAGGGGCCAGCAAGCTTTCATGTCCCCTTGGGAACTTTCCTCTGTTGACCTGGACATCTGGCTTTCTAGATGCATATGTATGGGGTGGGCAGCAAATTAAATTCATTCAGAATATTTCAGAATATTCAGCAATTCACAATATTTCATCCAAGGCTGCTGTGTCAGTGGAGAGCACTCCCAGAAAAAGTTAGTGCGGTTGCACTTGTTTGCGTATTGGAAACATCCCATTTAGGCTATTGCAGTTGCTTTATGTGAACCATTCTGAGAGCCTTTCAGCTGAAGGCTAAAATTGCAGAGCTGGTCCAGTATGGCTGGGCAGATGCCGAGGGTTCTGTTGCCAGCAGGAACTTACATGCAGGAGCCCTTGGGCTCTCACTCCTTCTCTTCACTTCTGCAACCTGCTTGTTCACCCGCCTGTTGCCTTGGTCCAGACAGTGGTGATGGTGCCAGTGATACCTGCTCACCAGCTCAATGCCACTTAAGCAGTTCTGAGAGGGGGAATGAAGAACTACGGCAGTTGATGGCACTGACCAAAAGGTCCCCTGAAAGTACCTTGTACAGGGGCCTCCAAATACCTTGAGCTGACATTTGAAATAAAGATATTTAATAGAATGAGTAATATGTGCCTGGCCTCCACTGATGAGAGAGCCCTCCACCCAAGTCTTACAGGATCCGCCCTGCAAATTAGCTATCCAACTCTCCAGGACAGGAGCTGTTGACCTGCACCCCCAAGGCGATTACAAGCATGGGAGGGGGCCGTATGCTTCTCGCAGCTGCCCTTATACAAATGTCCCCAGACAAAGCAGTTATGCATTAGCTGAAAAAATAGAAATAGTTGAAAAAACAGAACTTTCCTGATGAAAAACCCTTTAAGTCAAATAGACTATTAGGATTGGTGGGAAGAAAAAGACCACAGAAAGGATGTGGGAAGAGATGACTGGCTTGACCTATACCTCCCAGCAGGTGTTTCATTTTGAAGTGAAAGGTGCTTTGCAGCAGAAAGTGAAGGGAAATGCTGGCATCCGGATGTCTGAAAAGGGAAAATGCTGGCTTTCTCACCTAACTCTCTGATCCAAGCTTCCTCAGAGCTTCTCGCAGGGATCACACCTGTTTGCCTTGGTGAGGATTTATATATACCTGTTGCTTTCCCGGCAACAGCAAATGGTCATAGTACAAGTTGAGGAAATAGAGTTACTGACCTCATGGCTATTTTAACTCTGAGGTCAGCAGCTGCTCTTTCAGCCCAGAGGGTTGCACACAATGCAGGGGGTGAGGGAGGAAGCACATACATGCCTGACACACACCTTGGCACGAGGGAAGTGAGGCTTAAGGCAAGGAACTGTGAGGAAATTGTACACCTTTGATATCACTGGTGAGGGAGAGAGACTTAAAGCCTCTGCACACAGCCCAGCAGTCCTGATTACGATCACATTTCCATGCTGCTGCTACAAATCCTGATACAGATCTATTCCCTGCCATCCCAGCTCCTGGCTAACCAGGCGGCCAATAGGGAAAAAATGGTGGGACACCCCAAGGCTCTGTGCTGAAAGGGCAGCCAAGAGTGGTAGTGGTGGTGTTGGTGATTAAATTTCTATACCACTCCATAGACAAAGCTCTCTGGGCAGCTGACTACAATCCATAAAACAGACACAAATGCAATAAAATATCATAAAATAAAATAAAAAGTTTAAAACAGCTAAAACTGACAATAGCAAAGAATGACATCACAAAACCCCTGGGATGGGTTATCCCCTCCAAGCCCCTGGGTGGCCCAGGAAGCCTTTAAATTCCTCGGAAAACAGGGCCCTTTCAACCCAGCACCAAAAGGTGGTAAATTCAGTGTCATCCAGATCACACTGGGGAAGTTGTCCCATAGATGGGGGAGATACCAGGGAGAAAGTCCTCTGTGTTTTTCTCGGAGTTGGCACTCAGGGGAAAGTCTCAGAAATTGAATATGGTTGGGAGAGATGCACCAAGATATATGTATGCATGATACGCAGCCACCAACTGTCCACATGGATTTTAACTTTTTATAGGTTCTGTATGTTCTGTTAAAATATCATGTAAACATAGCACAGAAGTAATATGTGAAGTGATAGAAAGGTGCTGTACAATAAACTATTTATACAAGAAGCTCAACAGTGTTAGCTATATCTTGTTTGCTGTGGGTATGGCTTAATATTGTTGATTTCTAGGCAATAGAGGATACATTTACTTACATTTCAGGAGTCATATATGCATCATCTACAGCAGCTGGAAACAACAAAAGGTATATTTAATGTAAGGGCAACAAAAGCTACAACCACACAGTATGCCAGAAATGCTCAATTTAGCAGTGTAATTTTTAGGTGGCTGCATTATTTCTACTAACAAAGATCCCAGTAGAGTTTCATTTTGTGTGACATTTATTACAGTATCAAGGCAGAGAAGAAGACTGAAGTAGTAATTTCATTGTATCCCTGCATGCAATATGAAGAATTAAAACCAAAGGGTGCTAGCTGGCCTGCAAGAGCTTCAAGTCTTGGAGTCCATTGATTCTGAAAGGCACAGGAAAGGGATACCCAGCCCAGCGTCTCTCTGTAATGTGGCAAAGGCAGCGTGATAAACGTGAGCCTCTACATCAGGATAAGAAAAATGCTGCCAAGCTTTCTGAGGGTTGTGTCTTAAGAAATCCACTCAGCAATATTTCTTACTGAACTGTGAAGCAAAAGTAGAACCATCTCAAAGTTGGTTTAAATGAGGAAATGCTTGAGAGGTAAGTGCAAGAAAATCAATGGTAAGCAAAATAAGGCAAAAACATCATGAGGAATTCACAATCTGGTTGTTCATGATTTCAAAAGATGTCTTTTTCATCTAATGAGACAGATACCTTGGCATATAGTTAGTTAATTTCTTCTACAGAATGAAAGACTTTTTAGTAGGCTAAGATGATGTCATTATTACTATTTTATTGCTATTACTATATACAGTGTTCAGTAGGAGGAATTGTATGGTGAAGCTCTAATAGAATACCAAGCATGATTTCACACCAAAGTTCCTTTTCCAAAGTAAATATAAAATATTGTCAGAGTACCTCATCTGTGTGTTTGATGTGTGTGCCTGCGTGTATGCACATGCAGACAGAATTGTGAGTCAATTCAGTTAGAGATATAAGTTCTAGTCTGCAAAGCAAGTTGTATAAACTTAATTTTCTGGTTTGGGCTCTTGGGAACTATGGGATCCTTGCTTGTATTTGTTCACAGCTGTTCCAGGGGGATCAACTGAAACAAAAACCATCAGTACTCTTCTATTTATTTTGGGAACTGCCAGTGGACAGTGTGGTGGTAGGGATCATGTTCTCCCAGAGATCCTGAGCTCCATATGGAAGCATTGATGCTTGCAGGTCCTAGCCCTAGCAGGTCACCTTCCTACCCAGCCTCTGATATGCAATGCCTTCTAGACCCAAGAAGCCCCGCACTACAAACTTGATCCTCCTGGTTTTCCTTTTGTCTCAGCCATTAAGACTAAGTCAAGGAGTGATAATTTCTGGTCCACTTCCCAGTCTGTGGTATAGTCTGAGGCTTCAAGGCCTGATATATGACAATGATGAAATTCACCTTCTATCAAAGCTTAGAAGCCTCGAAGCATCAAGAGTGTTTATTTCACACATCCAGTTTGAACACCTGGTTTAATAACCTGGCCATTTAGTGCTTTCTAAACTGAAAAGTGCCATGATAATGCAACTTTACTATCCTCCTGGCTGAACTATGGCCCCTCAGTAATGCCAAAGTTTCTCATTTGGGTCATTTCCAATAAATAAGCTATTGTGACCTTTCAAGAAATATTATTTTTAGCCACTGTCGAAAGACTAATCCTTTAATTATTGAGGTTGTTACACAGAAGTCTTCCCTACCGATAGCTGTGCTGACTGGCAATGACAGGAGCTACACTCCAGCGTTTCTAGGAAACACCAGATTGGCGAAGGCCAGTTTAAGGTATTCTCTCTCTCTCTCTCCCCCTCCCTCCCCCCCCCCCCCCCCCTCCCCCCCCCCCCCCTCTCTCTCTCTCTGTGTGTGTTTTACAATTGTGGTGCGGAATTTAAGAATTCTGGACTGGGACACATGACGTCTACCACTCAGTCACTGCAGCCCACTGTATGACTTTGGACAGTCACTGCCTCTTAGCCTAACCTCTGTCACAGGGCTTCCGTTGAGAAGATAAAATGGAGAAGAGGGGAACCTTGGAATACACCTTAGGTTCTTTGCAAGTGGAACAAAGGCTGGATATAAAAGAAATAGCATAATGAAATAATAAAAAAGACATAAAATAGGGAGCACACATAGTATGAAGGAAAGGATTGGAAATACAATCAATTCTGGCTGATCAGTTTCTCAGTATAGTTAATTGAGCCAATGCATAACATAAGAACTGGCCCTCAAGTTAGCATCATCAAGGCATGTTGTTGAACTGTATAATTACTAATTTAGAAGCAATTTTAATCAGAACTCAACAGCTGATGTTTTACAGTATATCAAATCAAAGTACAAAGTGTCTTACCTGGAAGTTTCCGCTGAAAGATACCAAGATCTACTGTAGGTGGTCTTGGTGGTTTCTTTGGAGGAGGTCCAAGTAATATAAGAGAAGGAAGTGGTTTGGTGTTTGGATGCTTGATCTTTTCATTAGCATGCAGTTTTTCTGTACCTGAGTGAAGAAAAAATCTTAATACTTTGAAAAAAAAGTCCACATTGGAATTCTGTAATGTGTGAAGTAAACCACATGATCATTATCCTAAGGCCTTTTGCTCAGGTTCTCTTAGACTCACATCTCCATGTTAAAACAATTAAGTTTATACATGAACTGATATGTTGGCAGTGAAACTGGTTTCATGGTTTCTCTTCATCTGTATAACCAACCTCAAAGTATGGTTTTTGCCTGATGTGGGGCGAACTGGAAGCAAAGCAGAGGTATCCAGGTATCCAAAATAATTCCCAGAGCTCCTGAGAAAGGAGGTAGAATTCATTATGCTTATCACTACAGGAATCCTAGTCACAGGCATGGAGCTTCCGCTGCCTTCCTATCTGTTACAGCATGGCAGGCAACAGACCTGGCCAACAGATAAGACCAGCTACAGGCCTCATTATTCACTGCCCTACTGGGGTTCCAGTAAAGGGGTGGGTCTCTCTGGACTTCTTGTAGGCCAGTTCACCTTACATATCAAAGCCATGAGAAAGACAACCTGTGCATATCAGCAAATAAGCTTTTCACAACCATCTGTAAGATATCAACGTTTTAAACTATGCTAATTTAATGTGAACCTATCAATATAACCATCATTCAGATCTACGCTTGAGAAAAGAATGCTGAAGCAGAAGAAATTGAAAATGTTTATTCAAGTGTTCAAGGGGAAATGAACAACACACCAAAATAGGACATGGTGATAATCTTAGCTGACTAGAACACAAAAGTAGGAAGCAAAACAGAATCTAATTATATGGGAAAATCTGGGCATTTCATCTCCCTGTCTTTGCAATCTGTACACAGAACCTATCAGGAAATCTGGATTAGGATCAGGGAAAGGAACGAAAATTGGTGGAAGATACATCAGCAACTGAAGAAATTAAGATAAAATTAAGAATATAAAATTCATGACTACTAAAGAATTACAGAACTTTACTGTCAACAGTGATGAAATTGACACTGAGAGAGATTTTGCAACCCTTAGCTCAGTCATCAATTCAAAGGGAGACTGCAGCCAAGAAGTTTGAAGAAAACTGAGACAGCAATGAAGGGCAGCAGTGAAGGAACTGGAAAAGATATACAGTGTAAGGATGTTTCATTGGAGAACAAGACCAAGATCATCCATACTAACGTATGCTCTGTGTACGGGTTGTGAAAGTTGTGGGTTGTGAACAAAGCTGACAGGGAGAAATTTGTTGCATTTGAAATATGGTGCTAGAGAATTGCTTTGTGAATGCTGTGGTCTAGATTAACAGAAAGACGTGCAAGTGGTTTCTTGATCAAATCAAGCCAGAGCCTGACCTAGAAGAGAAAATGACAAAAGTGAAGCTGTACTTCGGGCACATGATGCGAAGGCACACTCACTGGGCAAGGCAATAATGCCAGGGAAAGCTGCCAGGGAGGCAGAAGAGGAAAGACCACTGTGAGATGGATTGATTCTGTACAGGAAGCAGCAGATGTGTGTTTCCAAGGCCTGAGTAAGGCTGTCAAGGACGGGGCAATTTGGAGAGCGTTCATTCACGAGCAGGGGACGGCTTAACAACTCATACCAGCAACTGTGAAACGTGGAAAGAGCCCTTAAGCATGGTACAAAGCTAAAAAGTCAATGGAAAGGGCAGCCAAGATGCTATCATGGAGTGTGCACACACAAACTTATCTTCTTAGTCACCTGCTTTAGATTGCAAGTTGGCAAAAGAACTGCTTACTTTTAAGTTCCTGTAAGGCAACTTTTTCTGGCAATGGAGGAGGAGGTAAAAACAAAAGGAAACCACCACCAAGTCTTTTCCCTCTTTGACAGTGGTGCATGATTTTGTAAAGAAACTGTGTCAAACCAGAAGTGTCTTGTTTGTAAATCTCTTCATTTACAAAAGACAATGCATAGATTGGTTTAAGCCATGATTTCTGAATCCACACGCTACTGCGCCAGGCTGGGAGGTCACAGCACTTTAAGAAGAAGGTACTTCAATTGGTAGCTGGATGCATTCACTCAAGGCTTTTGCCAAATTATAGCAATAAATTGCACATCCATGGTGGCTACAAGTACATGGTGGCTACAGTATTGAGCTGCAGTCCTGTGATCCCTGGGAAAGTAACCCAAGACACAGTAACGCTCTGCCTCAACAGCAGAGTGTCACCTGCTTCAGGCAGTTTGTAATCAGAGAAACTTCAAACTAGAAGCAAAGTCTAAAGGCAACTCAAAGGTTCAAGTTTACAGGGTCCTACAAGTAATTCAAAAGCCACAAAAGGAAGAGATGTTGTCTAGATGAGTAACAGACCTTGTAGCAACAACCCTCCATCTGGAACTGAAGGCTTATAATCCACAACCTTCTGAGTGCCACCCAGGACACAGCTGCCACAACTGGGTAGCCACTGGGCTTCCATATCTGAATCAAGGAGAACTCTCTCTACTTCTTCAGGAAGGCAGCTGGAGCAGTTTTCCCTCACGGGTCAAGTATTCCTACTGATCTACTTCAAACGCCTCCCAAGAGGCTGCTAATCCAAGACAGTCAATGCAATTCTAGACATCATAGAAAGAGGTGGAACTTCTGGACAGCGAAGGAGCTTTCCGCTAAGGTGACTGTTCCGCTAGCAGTGCTGCAGCAGTGGTGGGACTGAAATTGGGGTCATCTGAGGATATGTTAGGGTAGCCAAAGATCTATAGGATCCCAGGCTCTCTTCTTATAGCCAACATGCTGGCAATGATCTGGAGAACTGAAGCTGAAGAACTAGTATAGTAATTTCCTCCCAATGCAAGGGTAGGTGGCGGGGTATGGTCCTTAGTTCTTGTCCTGGCTGATGATTCTTAAGATGTGGTGGTTTTTCTGCCTTTGATATTTGCCCATTTATTGTTACCAAAGGAAAGTTATTGGTCATTCCCTGGATTCCCCTATTGTGTAATTATGGGAGTGAATACTGATTAAACTAGCCGTAACTGCAAGTGGTATTTTAGCTTGTTCTACTTAGTACAAACCCTCTCACTGATGGAAATGAAGATTTAAAATGCACCCAAAAGCCATCTTCGAACATTGTTCCAGAAGTTTTGAGATGGCATAACTAGTTTCTTTTTCATCCTGCACCCCACTTCTTCAAAAATGTTCTTCTGTCAAGAACAAGAAAAGTATTATCCATGAGCATTGCATACACAAATTTGAAGTCTAAGAGTATACAAGCTACCCATCTTCCCTTGAACTCTTTCCGTTATCTTCTTGATAGTCTACTTATAGCTTCCCTAGTACCCATTTGAAGCAAAGCTACAGGAGTTCTCTGCATGGCAAAATGTTCTAAAGACAGATATTTACCAGTGGTACTCTGTGAGGTCTTGTTTGGCCTATTTAAGTCATAACCATTTGGGGATAAAGCACTGGCGATATGAATGGCTCCATGTGCCACTCTCTCTAAGCGCATTTGACCTCTAGGTGGTACAGGGGGCGTGAATGAAGGAAATGAAATGGGTTCACTCTGAAGATGGGATGGAGTTCTGGGTGCAGAAAGTGCCAGACTTTGCTCCTTTTCAGCCATATTTGTTTTAACCTCTTTAGAAACAGCAACATCAGCCGTTCTTTGTCGTGCCAGTGATATTGTCCTACTCGCAGGCTGCGGTGGCGTTGCAGAACACTTCTGCTCATTTGGTGATACAGCATTTTCCCAGATTTGCAGAGTATCGTGGAAAGAATTCTTTGCCAATGCCGTTTCTTGAGTGTGACAGCAAGGCACTGGACACTGCCTTTGGGAATCCACCACAGATACTGTCCTTCCACAAAGCGTTTCTGCAATGCTTGTCCTTTTCCTGTCTTCACTCTTCCCTACTTCAGACAATTCACGAATCCTAACCCTTGGCAGCACCGTGGGCTTGATGTCTGTAAAGTCAGGCTTCTGAAAGGTATAGCTGAACTGTTCAGTCTTTTGCCCAGGAACTGGAATTTGCACTTGGCGCAAGGCCTTGGGTTTGGAACAGGTGGTAGAACTGCCATCTGTATTTTGCTGTGGAATGATTTCTGCAGTGGACTTCTTTGCGGAGTGTAGCAATGCACTGGAAAAATTAGAATCATTCTGAAACTTTGCTCTTAGGGCCCTGAAGTCTCCAATTCTTTCCTAAAGCAAATAGGGATGGAAAGGTCAGAGTCAGTTATGATTTCAGCACTGAAATTTTGAACCACGCTATCTGTTTAACTGGGGGTGTGGGAAACAAGACTGGTGTGGCATTGAGTAGGAGGAGGGTTCAGTCAGGGTCACAACTGAATCTCCCAAGACCTAGCCTGACTGTTCCATGCACTACAATAAATATTAGCTTAAAGACAGTGAAAATTCAAAGACTAAACATATAAATAAATAAATAAATAAATAAATAAATGAATGAACAAACAAGCAAACAAAAGTGGAAAGGAAGTGCAAAGGGAAAGTTATACGTACAAAGGGATGCATCAAACATTTCTAATCTGGAGAAAAAGGGATGCCTGGTAGTCCTAGGAATGCTAACAGCAGGGTGGGATCACTCATTTAGACTGCTGTAAATTACAGTGTGAGGATTTCAATTCTTTAACACAGGTAAGGGTAGAAGTTGTTTCTCTAAATATTTTGGGCATCTTCCTCCATCAGACCAAACTAGAATGACCAAAACATTTAGAGACCTGCCCACCTCTGTCTGAACTCACACAATTGGAAAATAGTATCTCCATTTGTAAAAGTCATCACTAATATTTTGAACATCTGCAGAAGCTAAGGCACTACATGCTACTGGCTGAGGAAAGGTGCCTGGCTCCAACATGGTGGCTTATTGGTCAAAGCTGGCCTGGAGTAAGGCACACCCCTTTAAACATGGAGGTAGGACTGTAGTGAAAAACCAAGACATGGATCAACATTCCCATCTCCTTTAATCTGTTTCTTTAGGTGTTTCTGCATTCCTCTCCTTAATCTGGAGGTGGGCAACTTCTGGCCTTTCATATGTTTGGACTTACAGTTCACATCAGCCCTAGCCAGTGTAACCAATGGGAAGGAATTATGGAATTGTAGGCCAAGCCCTCTGTTGACCTCTTGAGAGAATATTCTTTATGCCAACTTTGTCAGCTATTCTGGTTTCAGATGCAGCCAAAAGGCCGCTCAACCCTGATCGGCAGAGCTGCCCCAAGTTGTTTTGCTGTCTGCGAGCAAGAACAATACAGTGGCCCCTTCAATTCCATGTCCCAAAGCCTTCCTGAAAATCATCGGTCTGATGATGGGAATGTACACCAAGGCAGCAGGGGAGTTGGGTGGGGAGGGGGCCCAGCTAGCCACATGGCATGTACGCAATACACTTCTCTCCTCCAGCACTTCTCAGCCATCTCTCACCATTTTCTGCCTGAGGCAACCACGCAGCATTGTCTAATAGTAGTCCTGGCCCTACTACTCAAGCATAAGTCAGAAAAAGCAAAGAAAGAAATCAGAAAACAAAATGCTATGAGAGACAGAGGATTTGATTGGGAAGGCGGACAAATGGAGAAAGATCCAGCAACTTACTTTATTTATTTATTTATTTGGGTATTTCTAATCTGTCCAATTACTACGCATCTCTGGACGGCTCACAATAATCATAAGACAATCAGCATGGCTAGAACACACACACACACACACACACACACACACACACAGATCGAAAGAGAGAGAGAACCCACACACTAGGATCCTAATCCACATTGCTCTCCTGTGCTTACTCCACAATAAAAAAAGGTTTACTTTGGCTGACAGAAGCCGCATTAGAACATCCAACTTTCTGAAGAGTGAATTATTGGCCTGGTTGTGCTCAAGGACAGAGGGAGTACACTTACGCAGTTAACCTATAATTTATAGTTCAAGAGAGCTGTACTTCCTGTTGTGTCATACTCTCCCAAGAACTTCTAGTTTCAGAATTGCTTGTGGATTGGCTACAGGACAGAACAGATTGTGGGTGAGGAAAAGCACCAATAACAATTAAGAACATTGATACCACCCATGCTGTAACTTTGGGTTTACAGTCCCAAAAAAGACACATTACTTTCATAAATCACAAGGTTTTATGTAAGAGGGTGACAGAGTGCATTGGAGGATTGTACAAGATTATGCTGTATGATGGAAAACAGAACAAGCGGCAAGAGGCAAAAACCAAAAGATTTATTTTTTGAAGTAGCTAGCCTCTGTATGACTTCGAAGAATCAAACTTTATTTCCTATAGCCTGAGACTATTCTCTTTTCCATTTGATTGTCTTGAATATTCTTCAATTCTGTCTGACCCCAAATACTGATTCTCTGGCCCTGCTTCTTCCACAGCAAGTAAGCTAATAGCTAAAATGTCTCAGAAGGTCTCGCTGGCAACTTCACAGTTTGGCACTACAAGTCATATTCTCCCAATCATGGCATACAACATGACAGTGACCTCCCCCCATCTATTCCTTGTTTTGAAATTCCTTCCTGTACATCATGAACTGCCTTATAAACTTAATCGGGTGCTTGCATGAGCTGAGGAATGCCAGCCATGCACTGAGCCCTGTGAAAAAACTAACATAGCCCATCCAATCAGAAAATGAGGCGAAAGGGACAACCTTGAACAGAACATCCATTGCGCTGAAAGAGAGATACTGGTGCCTTCAACAAGAAGACAAGACAGAGTTGATACTCTGTCCTGGGATTGCACTGAATTTTGTGTAATTGATTCCAACTTATTAAATTCTGAGGTTTCTCCTGAATAATCCCTTTGAGTCAACTCCATTATTTTCATGTTGCAGAGCAAGGTCTAAAGCTCCTTGGAGATGCTTCAACTGCTCCAATTGTAGTAGAACAACCAGCTGTATGATACAACCCACCCCAATCTCAGAGTCTAGTTGCAACTGGAACAGAGATGCAGCCAACATGGCCGCAAAGGAGAGATAAACAAAACCCTGTGATTGTCATCCAAAACAACACACACAGTTATGAATACAACCCATGGAGGCCAAGACAAATAAATGCCATTGTTTTGGCAGCAAGGGCACAGTAACTGAGGGCCAACTTTAAAACCAGCTCACTCGCACAGCTCTGTTTATACATCTTTACTGCAAGCCAGGTGCTCCTTTTATTATTGAATTCATCAGGGCTATGCATAAAGATGATCCCATGCGAAGAATGTTTTGCCAGGCACCACCATCTCCATCCCAAAGCAAAGATGAAGGATTTTTTTTTTAAATAAGAACTTTGTGATTTTATGTATTAAGCTACAGCTGAAGAACTGAATCTTGGAAAGTTGCTGTTTTAAAGACCACATGTGTGCTATCAGTCTCCTTGTACAGCACATCTTGGTGTGTGCTGAGTTATTAAGTCCTTAGGCACTGTAAGCACAACTTGCTTGCTTGATTGTTCCCAAGGAAAACTCGCCATCTATTCCCCCAGTAGCATTTAAGCTTTGCCTCTGGTAATCTCAGACCACTATTCTTAGGGCCAAAACAGACACTACTTTAAATGTGTGCCTTGACCTATGTTCTTTCTTTAATCTATACACGAGGTCATCATGGAAGTCTTGAAAAGACAGAGGGAACAAAAGAAATACATTCAATACTTTGGAATTTGTGTATGTGATTTACAGTGAAATCCTATAACTGGATATTCAGCAATATGTCCATTTGAGCTGACTGGCACTTACTCCCAAGCAAGCATACTTCTGATTGCAGCCTAGGCATGCTGCACTGTGCTCATCACATCTCATTCACTGGCCAATGAAAAAGAGCAGCCCTCAAGCTAGGAACTATCCAAGTTTAAAAGCAGAGAATATAACCCACAGATCAGGCATTTTCTGACTCCACAATCAAATGGGTCACTGTTCCCTCTTTTGATATGATGTAAACTTTGTAGAGCGAGAAAGATGTCACTTGGAGTCTGAAGGGTTAAAATGATCGGTGCTTGGCTTTTGTTTGTTCTGGAATAAGTAGCCTGCTATTTATGCATCAATGTTTTATTTAGATGTGTCTTCCGAAGAGCTGAGGGCAGATGACTCTTCCGCCCTCTTGGGGCCAGTGGCAAGGGTAGGCATGGTTGGGAACCTACTGGGGGTCTACGCCCAGTCCAGCCTCACTAACAAGTTCCCCTGGACTTGACCCTCCTCTTCACCACTGCAAGCTGCTGCTTCAGCTGCCACTCGCTGGGCCAGGGAGAGTGACGGTGGAGACGAGCAGCAGATGCCTCCTTGCTCAGTGGTTGTCTGCCTGTCCAACAAGCAATGAGCTGAAAGCCGCTGATGAGCAAAATCAACTGGTGACTATGGCAGTGAGAAGGTAGGATCAATGAGGAGGACATCTTGTGGAAAGGCCCTCAAATCCAGGAGCTGGCAGTTTCTTCACTTCCCATTTTTTGCTCACCACAACCCTGTGAGATAATCCAACTTCATCTAGGAAGCTTCCTGGTGAGGGAGGATGGATAATACTTTGAGTGCACAGACAAGACTCTTGTGCACTCCGTTCTCCAAGAGTGCACCAAGAGGGAGCACGATCCCACAGCGAGCTGTTTACAGGAAACAGCCTCATTTTTTTGTTGTTATGAACATCATTAGCTTACTAATTCTGAAAAGGAATTTATTGTGCCTTTCTTTTGTTGGTTAAGGCTGAACTCTGACTCCAGCTAGCAAACCTGGCTGGAATTTTGCTGCCTGAGTCGAATACTACGAACAGATATTTGACATCGTACAGGCAGGAGGAACTTACTCATGCGGAGTTTTCCTTCAACTCTACCCACTGCTTCTCCCAAGGTCGGAAAGGAAAAACAGAAAGAAGAAAGGCAGACTACTCAGGTAGTTTTATGATCAAAAATCAAAGCTGCCAAACAGATGCAATAGAGAGTGGGGGATTCTCAGAGCTATAGTTTAATGTTGGAGTCCTGCATGCATTTACTAAGAAACGAAGCCCACCTTGCTGAGTGAATCTTGTAGTGTGTGTTTCAGAACACAACTCCAAATACAAGCTTCCAGTCCAAAAAAATGCCATGTTCTCGGTCTGTTCAATGCAGTAATTACGATGATTGTGGTTGTGGTAGCAGTTGTTGCACTGCTTCCCATTGCAAAATGTGGTCTCAAAGCAACTTACACACACAATATAGAAACCCATGATTAATGTAACAGGAGAGAATCAATATAAGCCATAACACAGTAATAATAATAGAAGTATCTATCATAAAACACAACCTTAAAACAGTATCACATGAAAAGTGTGCAGTCACAAATACACAAGATCTACCCCTGCTCACAGTCCAGAATGAACATTACCAAAGCAGCCCACAATAATCAGACATGATGCTCGGATTCCTGGTAATATAAGGGCATCTTTGTCTGATACTGAAATGGTGCTAGTGTTGGCCCTGGACAACCTTGCAGAAAAACAGGGCGATTGCAGAAAAGGAGCAACGGAGTTACAATGAGACATTACAGCTGTGCTTCCCCAGGGGTAAAGAGGGGCAGCTGGAAGGCATGAGAAACGTTTCCCGTGCTCCTGGGGATGTGGCCACAGGATATTTATTGAGATCTTTAACTGAGAAGACGCTGGGAAGCTCTTTATTTTTATACAAGGCACAAATGCCCATTGTTTTTCCGTCCTCCAAGGAACAGAGGGTGGCTTCTCGTCTTCATTTCTTCCTTATAACCATGCTGCGAGGAGGTGACTCACCCAATGAACTTCATGGCTGAGTGAGGACTAGAAGCCAGCTCTCCCAAGTTCCAGCCCAACACTAACCACTGCACAACACTGCACACAGTATCTAAAGAACTTTGGCTTGTTTCAGAAAGTGAGGCCTGACCCCCAGCACTGAGAACAATTTCATGAACATCCCTGGTAATCCCTAACCAGACCCCAAATACTGTAGCACCACTGCCCAGGTATTGCTTTTCTTCCCCTGGCAGAAGGAGAGGGGGCATAGCCTCTCAGGACCAGTACAACAAGTGTCTCCTGAAAACAATAACAGGAAATTAAACCCTGGTAACAGCCCCCCCCCCCCCCCCCCCCACACTTTTCTGGTCAATTTCCCCAAGTTAAACTGCTTTCTTGCTTGCTGCAATAATCCATGAAAAGCCACTAGCTGACCGCATGAAGCCAGAGAAGAGCAGTTTGAGCAACAAATGGGGAAAAGTGCCCTTTTGCAACTGGCCTGCAAAGGCAAACAGCAGGAGTAGACTGAGAGTAGTTACCGTGTCCATGTTCTGCCTCTTGCTTTCATACTTCTTTCTGAAGCGACTCAGCTTCGCAGCCCATTTGGTGCCTGTTCTCCAAAGCAGAGCAGCTGGTGCAACTCCCGCCCCACTCCGCTCTGCTCAGAAATCTTGCAGCAAAGAAGCAGGTAAAGTTAAGGTGGAGCATGTATACAGAAGAATTACACCTGAGTGCAAGGACTCAGCTCCTCCTTAACTAAACCCTCAGGGCATGAGAGAGCAGATTGCCCTCACCTGTCAAGAGGTCTTCCTCCACTTCTCTTCTCGCACAAGAAGCCAGTGCTACCCCATGAGAAATGGCAGCCTTAGGACACCGTAAGCTCCAGAACTGTGTGGAAGATAGTCTCCCAGGTTCTCCATGGCTCCAGGGCCTTAAACCTGGCAGGGAGGCCTTTTCTCTGTTATTCAGTGTGGTGTAAAGTCTGCGCTGGAAAACAGTTCTGTTTCTGAAGCAAGATAATTGAGATTCTGTATCTGAATGAATCATGGAAGTGAAGCAGGACTGTGTAGATTTACATGGTTTGTAGTACAGTCTAGTCTAGGGAGTTGCAGAGTGTCAGAATTTTATTGTGTTGAGGGGAAAAAACCTATCACAGTCCTGCAAAAATTCCAGTGCCTTTGAGTCTGCTTCCCCCTCCTTTTTGTGGAATTCTGTCTCCTTTCCTCAAAGATGGTAGCAATGCATAGCAAGCAGTTAGCAAAAGTGGAGCTGAAGGCAGACTCTAAATTAGCAGATTGACTAAGCATGTGTGCACAAGGCAAAATCTGGCCACAATTAGACACTATTCAGTCACCTTGGATTCTATTAAAAGGTTAGCAGTTTTGTCAACTGTCCTTGTTACAATAAATAGTGCTTAAAAGTATGTGTGACTCATATCCAAAGTTCATTCTATTATTTAACTATGGGCACAGATTAAATACCCTCCACCCCCAAGAAACAAACACATGGACACACCTCTACGAGAAGCTTTGCTTGGGGTGCTTCCAAAGAGGACTTGCAGTGTGCCATCACCCTGCCTCCTCACGGTAGAGCTGGCTGGGAAATGCTGGGAGTTGTCTTGTTTTCTAACATGTGTAGCATTTCACTTCAAGCCACTCCGTGCATGTAGGAGATGAGGTCTCTATGTTGCTGTAGATCTTCTGCAAAGGGGCCCATCTGTGATGGTGTCCTGGCAATGCCAGGTATTGAATTGGGAGCTGTTGTGTATGAACCACAATGCACGTACTGACTGTTACCATGTGGGGCCATTTAAAGCAGCCTTGACATGGCTGCAATGTGTCAACCAGCCTCAAGCCAACCGTCCATCCTTCCCTGGACCCTTGTTGCAAGAATGTCTTTTTCAATGCCGTTCTTCCCCTCCTTACCAGCAGTAAGCCTGCGGAGGAACAGCCGATGTCTTTCATCATATAAGCAGTTCTTTCTGTTGTAAATCTCAATGTACAGCTAGCTCTCCTAAAGCATAAATACGGTACAAGATGTGGATTTCCCCAGAGCAAAAGAGTTTTGCTTTTATTGCCAGGTAACAAATCAGACTGTGTGTGTGTTTCTTTCTCAATGACTTTTTTCACAGGTTGCTGGTGCTGTTGGCTGAGGGTAAAGTTTGAATATGGGAAACCAAATTAAAGTTCCAAATAGCCTAGATGGCTGAGGCCTACCTTTCAGTCTAACATAACTCACTGGGTTATTGTTAATTAATTAATTGAGACCAGCAAAGCCTGTTGTCCACTGAAAAGTGCAACAAAGAGTATCAGAACTGTACCATTGGGGGCCATCTTGGAGGTCACCTAGTCCAATTCCTTCTCAGCAATGTGGGATCCAGTTGCAGTACCCCTGATGGGTGCCATCCAGGCCTGCTTAACTCCTTAATCTCAAAGGAGACCCAAGCCGCCACCCACCGTACAAGCCAGCCATTCCAAGGACAAGCAGCTCTTTCTGAATGTTTACCTGGACTTTTCTTCCCTGCAAT